GGGAGCTCTAACATACTGGAACATGGAGCATGCTATGTTAGAGCTCCGTTGGAGCTCTGTTAGAGCTCTCTAACATGCCATGTAGAGCTCCCAGGGAGCTCTAACATACTGGAACATGCTATGTTAGAGCTCCCACGGAGCTCTAACATACCATGTTAGAGCTCCCAGGGAGCTCCCACTGAGCTCTAACATGCTATGTTAAAGCTCCGTTGGAGCTCGGTATTTTAGAGCTCCCAGGGAGCTCTAACATGGGAGCTCTAATATAGCATGTTAGAGCTCCCAGGGAGCTCTAACATACTCGAACATGCTATGTTAGAGCTCCGTTGGAGCTCTAACAAGCCATGTTAGAGCTCCCACGGAGCTCTAACATACCATGTTAGAGCTCCCGGGAGCTCTAACATACTGGAACATGCTATGTTAGAGCTCCGTTGGAGCTCTAACAAGCCATGTTAGAGCTCCCACGGAGCTCTAACATACCATGTTAGAGCTCCCAGGAGCTCCCACGGAGCTCTAACATGCTATGTTAAAGCTCCGTGGAGCTCGGTATTTGTAGAGCTCCCAGGGAGCTCTAACATGGGAGCTCTAATATAGCATGTTAGAGCTCCCAGGGAGCTCTAACATACTCGAACATGCTATGTTAGAGCTCCGTTGGAGCTCTAACAAGCCATGTTCGAGCTCCCACGGAGCTCTAACATACCATGTTAGAGCTCCCAGGAAGCTCTAGCATACTGGAACATGCAATGTTAGAGCTCCGTTGGAGCTCGAACATGCCATGTTAGAGCTCCGTTGGAGCTCTAACATGCCATGTTAGAGCTCCCAGGGAGTTCTAACATACTCGAACATGCTATGTTAGAGTTCCGTTGGAGCTCTAACAAGCCATGTTAGAGCTCCCACGGAGCTCTAACATACCATGTTAGAGCTCCCAGGGAGCTCTAACATACTGGAACATGCTATGTTAGAGCTCCGTTGGAGCTCTAACATACCATGTTAGAGCACCCACGGAGCTCTAACATACCATGTTAGAGCTCCCAGGGAGCTCTAACATACTCGAACATGTTATGTTAGAGCTCCGTTGGAGCTCTAACAAGCCATGTTAGAGCTCCCACGGAGCTCTAACGTACTGGAACATGCTGATGGTATGGATGGTGATGATGATGATGATGATGATGATGATGATGATGATGATGATGATGATGATGATGATGGGGATGGTGATCATGGTATGGTGAGGGCGGTTGTGATGGTGATGATGGTGATGGTGATGATGGTTTTTCCGGATGTGATGAGCACCACCATCATCACCATCACCATCGCCACCACCATCAGCGCTACGATTTGATAACCACCATCATTACAATCGTCGTCGGCCCAGGGCGGACGACGATGAATAACATGACGATGATGACGATGATGATGACGATGATGCAAAAACAGGTTGAGTCGGTTGAGTCCGAAAACCCCGCCCTAAATCAAGCCAGAGGAAGAGGAGGAGGAGGACGACGAGGAGGAGGAGGACGAGGAGGAGGAGCAGGAAGAGGAGGAGCAGCAGGAGGAGCAGGAGAGGGAGGAGGGGGGAGTAGGAGGAGGTGGAGGGGAGGATAACACTCTGGATGATACCTTGCAGGTGTGAGTTGGAGCCGTGCCCTGCCCCCTCTCCGATGCCCGATTACACACAATCAGTAATGTCAGCTCGCCTGTCGTGACCAGGGAGGGGGGGGGGGGTGGAGGTGCAAGGGACGTGACCAGGGAGGGGAGGGGGTTGCAGGTGCAAGGGAAAGTAGGGGCGGCCGGGACGCGCGCTGATGGGACGCGGGCTCACACCCATTCCTCCTTGCAATCCTTTTTCCTCATCATCTTCATTCCTGCCCCTCCTTGCCCCTCCTCCTGCTCCTCCGCTTCCTCCTCCTCCTCCGCCTCCTTCTCCTCCTCATCCTGCTCATCCTCTTCCTCCTCATCCTCTTCCTCCTCCTCCTGCTGTTTCTCCTCCTCCTTCTCCTCCTCTTTCTCCTTCTCCTCCTCCTGCTCCTCCTTCTCCTCCTCCTCATCCTCCTGCTTCTCCTCCTCCTCCTTCTCCACCTCCTCCCTCCTGGGCAAACCCTGAAGTTCTGCCTTTCGGAGATGTGCCAGGGGTCTTTCCTGCGGGAGGCTGCCGTCAGGCATCCCTTACCATGGCCCGCCCTTGCAGCCGCTGACGCCATCACTGCTGCGGTGCTCGCCGTCGCTGCCCAAGATGAGTTGCAGGCTCACTCGGGGACGCCGTGGGTGGTCAACGTCCATTCGGTTGTTCAGGCCACAGTAGCCCCTCAGGAGCCCAAGGTAGCTATGCTGCCAGATTTGTTGTTGCTGTAAACCTGTTGGCCTTCGGTGCACAAGCTCGTTCGCTCGGGGGGGGGGGCTGGGCTTGCCGTGTCGGATTTGGGACCATCTTGGGCTGCGGTCGCAGCGCTCACGCCTGCGAGGGGGGCTGGCCCCTCGCCTCACCGCCAGCGTCGTGGACGTGCGAGGTCCAGGCACGGCGACAATCGCCGAGTGGACGCCTCGCTTCCCGTCCTTCGCCGCAGGCGCGGGGAGGCGGGAGGAAGGCAGCCAGGTGAATGTGTCAGAGGCAGCTCAGACGAAGGAGGTTTATGGCACGGCCGTGCCCGAGCTCTAGGATTGGGCGGTTGCCAGAGTGCTCGGTTTCGGATCCCCCTCAGATGTAGTGGTTTTCGTTGCTACCTTGAAGCCGAGGGTGAGGAGTCTGATGTTCCTGAAGAACCTGCCTAGGCAGGGTTGCGTCTCTGCGGCGAACGGGCCCTGCCCCATGGAGTCAGCACACTCAGCCCCCTCCTCCTCCGTTCCTCCTCCTCCCTCCTCGCATACCTTCCTCACTTCCGCCTCCTTTCGTCGTCCTCTTTCTCCTCCTCTTCCTCCTCATCTCACATGTCATTTTCCTCCTCATCTTTCTCATCTTCCTCCTCCCCTTATTCCACCTATTCCATCAATGTTTCCCCCCCCCCTCATTGCCTCTAGTCCCCATTTATCCCAATCCGCCGCGGGTCTTCTTTTTCATCTGCCTCTTACCCCTCCTATGTCCCCCATTCTCCTCCTTCCTCTCCTCCCAGGCGCCTTCCTGCAGGGGTGCTCTCTCTCTCTCTCTCCATCTCTCTCTCTCTCTCTCTCTTTTTGCACGTGCGCCTTCCCCAAAATACGTAGGTGGGAGGACGAGGGAGCAGCAGACCAGTCGCAGTGGAACGAGCATGGGCTAGCGCGCCTCCTCGCCTACTCTCCTTCTCTCCTCCTCATGCTACGACTGCGGTTGGCGCTGTTGCTCGGATCCTCCTCCTGCTCCCGTCTATCCCTCCTCCTTCTACTCTCCTCCCTTTTGCCTCCTCCTCCTCCTCCTCCTCCTCTTACTCCCTCCTGTCCCTCCCCTCCACACCTCCGTCCATCCTCCCTCCCCCCTCCTCTGCTCCGGCTGCGGCTCGTCCTGCCTCCTAATCGTCATCCCCCCCTCCTCTTGCTGCTGCTGGTGTTGCTGATGCTGCTGCTCCTCTTCCTCCACCTCCGCCCCACCATCGGAATCGAGAACCCGGCTGGTTCTGGAAGTGCAGCCGTTGGGACAGTTTTTCGTTGTTCAGACAGTCGCCTCGTGATCGAGAGGTCCATCGCCCATTTCTCCACGCGGTTTCCCTTCCCCTATTCCTCCCACTCCTCCTCCTCCCCCCACTCCTCCACCTCGTCCTCCTCCTCCTCGTCGTCCTCGTCCTCCTCCTCGTCCTCCTCCTCCATCCCTTCTCATTCTAAACAGCTCCTCCATGTCGTACTCGTACCCCGAGACGTGTGGATAGGGCGGGCCCGGCGTTTCGCCTGAGATTCCTCACCATGTACGACCCCTCAGCCAGAAATTCGCAACAGGTTCACGGATGTAGGGCGGGCGGTTTTCAATATGTCGTTCTCGCCGTAGCGCCGCGAGCAGTCGTCGTCAACATTTGCACGCGCTTCGCGGACAGAGGGCGGGCGGTTTTCAAAATGAGTTTCTCGCCTTAGGCCCTAGCGCCCCGCACATTCGTTTAACAGTTCGCAATAGATTCACGGATAGAGGACGGTACCTTCTCAAATGCTGGCTCTCGCCTTAGCGACGCGAGCATTTGCCCCAAGAGTTTACATCCACCTGAGGGATCCTTATATTGGACGTGCAGAAAATGGTGTATTGGAGCGATGTCGGACCGTCAGGGCGCAACAGTTACGCCGATTCGCTGTGTTGATGTTCTAGGAACGGTGTTCTTGCACGACTCTGGATCTCTGGATTGTCACGACGCAACAAGAACGTTGCTTCGCGGCGCTGAAGTCCCAGGGATGGTGTTCCAGTACGGTTCAGGATTTTCAGGCGATTGTCGTCCACCAGGGCTCTTCCCTCAATGAGAATGAAATATTTGCAGGAACATCATGAAGAGGGAACTTGGAGGGAGGGTGTATTGCAATATCGTTCGTGAATGTTTGCTTTACGCTGGTCCTCCTCTTCCTCCTCCTCATCCTCATCCTCTTCCTCCTCCTCCTCCTCCTCCTCCTCCTCTCCCTCCCTCCTCCTCCTCCGCCTGCTCCACCCCCTCATACTCCTCCGCAGGGCCTTTCCGTGCCTTCCGACGATTGCGGCGATGATGGTGATTGCCCCGGGTGGTCCACAGATGCCCGGCGTTCCCTGCAGGGTCCCCGTAGCCCCTCCAAAGGTCCATGAAGGCCCAGAGGCGCATAAAGGGTTTAAAGCGTACAAGATCTCAGATCTTCTTCCGCCGCCCCCCCCCCCGAAAATGAAACCATGACGCAGCTGGCGTGCCTCCCCAGCCAGGGGCCACGTTGGCGTCGCCAGCTGACACCGGGGCCCTCTTTGAGCCACAAGGCAACAAGGCCATGAAGTGCGCCACAACAGGATGCGGCAGCTCTCACACCGACGACGTCGACCAAGACGACGACGACGGCGACGGCGACGACGATGACGAGGATGCCCCTCACAGCCTCAGGTCGTGCTCGCCGTGACGCATCTGCCCCTGACCGGACCGGCGGACGAGCCAACCGACCAGGTGTTGATGCAGTCCTGCCCGGGCAGCCGCGCGCTCGTCTGTTCTTTTTCCCCACAGCGAGCGACGGGCGCATCGATAACAAGAAAAGTAGGATCTTAGTTTTTTGCTGTTTTCGGCGTCTGGGAGCGGTTTTCGGGCCCTGGGGGCGTCAGAAATCGATCCCAGGCGAACAGGTAGCCCGAATGGACCCAGGGAGGGCTTTGGAGACCGATGCTGATGATCGCGGCCCACAACGGATTGTTCCGTCGAATCTGCGTAACAATACGTAGAATGTTCCGTGGGTCCGACGGAACAGTGAATTTTAGGGTGAGTCAATTCTGTAGTCGATCCCCTGCTCGAGGGTCAGGCCCCGGGGCCCCACAGACGGATTCGACTAGAGAAATGTTGCAGAAGGGGTCGAGGGGTGTGCTCGTGATTGTTCACGGCGCTGCACTGTTCCCACGACGACGGGCTTGGCAGTACCCATACATCCAGGCGTCGCGAGCCAAAGTCGCGCGAGATGGTTCTGGAAGTGGAGGGGACTTGGCACGGAGGGGTGCTCTGCAACATCGTTAATGCATCCTGGATCTACTCAGGTCCTCCTGCTCATCCCGCCTTTTCCTTCTCTTGTTGACCCTCCTGCTTCTCCTCCCTCTTCCTTCTCCTGTTGCTCCTGCTCCTGCTCTTCCTCGTCCTCCTGCTCCTCCTCGTCCTGCTTTTCCGAACTTTTCGCAGGCAACGTATCTAATCGCGAGCCTGCAGGACCTACCAGCGGAGTTTCACACTGTCCTGAGCCTGAAGGACAGCCCGGCCGCTGCCACCAGCCTACGCGACCTGTTGCAAGCAGATGTTGCAGCAGGAGTCCTATCCGTGGGCACAGCCGACCAAGCCATCGGCGCCATCCTCCAGGACCTGGACAAAAACATCGAGTACGAGCGCAAGAAGAGTTTGTCAGAGGCGTCCAAATCCTGGGCCTCGTGGTCCAAATTTCTCTCCTGGGAAGTGTCGGGTGGGCCCATAGATGGACGAGGGACCTTGACGATTGTAAGCCAGCCACCACCTTTATGAGTGGCAAGTGGTCAGGACGACCCCTCAGCATCCTTGCAGGTGAAGCTGAACGGCTTGCGAATCTTTGGGACACTACCTCGGAACCGCAAGTTTCTTCGATTCCAGGGGACATCGACGATAGAGTTGCCCTGGGGCCCATGTCGGGCTAGATAATCCAACACGCCGCCAAAAGCTTCGCCACGAATACGGGTTCCACGTGGAACGGAGTCCACCCTAGGCTCCTCACCCTGATCACAGAGCAGCAGGCGGACCTGATCGCACAGTGGCTCCTGATGATTGAAAGGCTCGGTTTCATGCCCTATCAGATACAGGCCATACTTTCAGTACTCATCATGAAACACAAGCAGCAAGACCCATCAGCCACTAAACCAGCGATGCGCTCTATTGGGATGATGTCAGGCTTGTATCGAGTGCGGGCTAGAATTCGTCAGCCAGCCGCACGAGAATGGGAGCGGCATCACACGAAGAAATGTTTAGCCCGTCAAGCAGGCCACTCCATAGTCGAGCTCGTTTTCAGGCAAAGCCTAGACTGCGAATGTTACAGCAAGCGCAATGAGCAATTACTTTCTGGTATGATCCTTTTACGATCCCAACAACTACTATGAGCAGATGAACCACAGCAAGCTTGCAACCAGAGCGTTCAATAATGGGTGTCCAGCTACACTTCTTAGGATCATCCCCAGCATCTGCGCTAGCCCCAGGTTCGTCGCCCTCCAGGGCTTAGTCGTTTCGGTCGGTAACACCGTACACGGGATAGCGGCAGGGTGTGGGTTTGTTACGCACCACATACAAATGTATACCATAGACCCCCTCGGCTCCTGGACCCAGCAGAACCCCACTTTAGACTTCCACATGTTCATAGACGACCTCCCCATTAAGTCGCATTCGGTCCACATGAATAATGCCATCCTGAGGTTAGACCGAGGGCCGAGAAGCCTCATCCAGTGCATCCAGCGGGATCTAGACAGCTCGGTCGCCCCCGCCAAGACCCAGATGCTAGCCTCCTGCGCAAAGTTGCGCAAGGATCTCAAGCACAAACTTCGATATCGAGCAGGCGCGTCGCTGGACATCTCGGGCCCCGACCTCGGCTGCGAGACCGCCGCAGGTGCCCCCCCCCCCCCCCCCTTGTGCCGATGGAGAAAGGACCGCCTCGCCACCGCTAGGACGAACAAGATCAAGAACATGATGAGGAGATCAGGAGCTATCAGGAGGGCAGGAGAAGACAGCAATAATATCTGCAACACAGACATCTTCGCGGCAACATCGTTCGGTGGTCACGAAGTCACAGGTCTTAACAACACGCAGCTAACAGTCGCCCGACAGCAGTATCTGAAGCTAGCGGGGCCCAAATGTGCCACCAGAAGCAGAGCCCTCAGTTTGATGTTGGTTGGAGACCCTACTTGGCAGATGGCCTTGGGTCCTGTTCGGCATTGGCATTTAATTTAAGTGTGTGGACGGCCGTCACCAACAGAGGACAAGGGCTTGCTACCGTACCTTGGCTGCGGGCCCGCGGGGAGGATCTTATGGGCCAAGCCCCTTCCTGCTGGGACAGCGTGCGCGGGCCTTCCGGTGCCACGCAGTTATCCTTACAACGTCTTGGATGGAAGCTGGCCTCCCCACTAGTCTTTCAGAGCAGAGAAGGCCGCGAATGCCCTCCCACCTGTTGGTCCCCAGGTTTTGTGCGCAACCTTTTCGCCAGGGCTGGGAGAAGCAGCTTGCTGAAATCGCGGCCTCAAAGCTCGGCCACCATGGGTCCACCCTCGATTACAGAGTCGCCTCCAGAGTTTTAGCCAGCCCGCTCCTCGGCAAGCAAAGGAGGGGCAGTTTGTTAACTTGTCTCACGCAAGGCTGCTGGGCGAAGGCCAGGGCCAGAGACGCAGGATACAGCATAGAATGCACGTGCGAGTGTGGAGCCCCCTCGGGCTCAATTTGACACCATCTTTTTGCCTGCCCCTTATCCCAAGAGGAGAGAGCTCAAGCCTTCACGACCGAAGCGCTGGAGCCGCTTGTCAATCATGGAAGAGACCCGCTCATCAAGTTTGGATACTAGCAGGCGCCAGACTTGGACATCGGAACTCCCGAGGGCACAGGATTAAGCTGTTGCGTTTTTTGGTGCAGGGATCCCTCCTGCACTCTAGAAGAAGCCTTTTGAGGGACAGGTGTATGTGGACGGCAGCAGCGACCTGTCCCATCACCCACGCGCACCGCAGGCTGGGCAGTTGTTTTTTTATGATGGAAGGAGAACCCCACGTCATCCTCCCAGGACAAGTAGGACGAATCTATCCCCGAGGCTCTGGGGTGGCGGAGATGCTGTTAACAATCGCAGCCTGCTCCAGATCGCCACAAGTACACAGAGTTCACGCAGACTACCTAGGTGCGATACAGCTGTATCATCACCCAGGTTACCCCAGGAAGAATGTGCATGCAGGTGTTGTGCAAAGCTGTTGTGCCGCCCGAGCGTTGTCTTGTCAAACTCAAAGCCCATCATAACCTCAGCCAGGATTCGAATGATCAGGAAGATTTCAACCACGCCCAAGGTAACGACAAAACGGCCAAGAGAGCTGCCATGAAGTTTTGCAGGCCTTCAGAGGCCGAGCGGGAGCTTGCCAAGTACGATGAAAGCCTCCTGCGCCGTTTCCTGTTCTTTGTCGCGAAGATTGTACCCAAGTGGCCTGCTCTGGCCCCCCGCCCAGGGAAGAAAGCCTTAGCTAAGCCGCAGGGTAGAAACCCAACGATGGGAGCAGCTTCCGCAGCCTACGCCCGGGAACCTGCCCTCCTCCGAGGCCTCTTCCTCCCCCTCCCCCTGCCCCTGAGGAAGCGGGAGAAACCCGCCGGTGGGAGTTTATCAATGGCCCTCTCTTTTGTACACTGTGCCGTTCTGCAGCCAAGAACGATCAGGTATCACATCATCTTGTCTGAATGATGCTCTGGATATTGTGCGGGACCCGCCTCTTTTGCGCAAATCCCACGGGGCCATCGTCTTTTGTTTCGAGTACCTGCTCAATTCGAGCACGGTCATCATGTGTTTCGACTGTGGCCCTTATTCCGAAACGGGAATCAGGGTCTTGCTGTTCCGCGAGTGTCTTCGTGCGCCACGGTCAAACAATGCCATCGCGCAACTGGCTCGTGCGCAGGCGCTGGCACATCCGAGGATAGGATCTCGTGCCTGCCAAGTATTTCGCCCGCCAGTGCCTCCTGATTTTTTTTTTACCGCCAAGCGTTGGCGGTCGCCACTGCTCCCGGCACATCGCCAAAGGAGTTAAACACCCCCAGGGGGTCGGGCGGATTTCAGTTTCAGCAGTGTACTGCTGTCTCGGCGCGGGTGCGTCGGGAACTCGAATTCTTCAAGCCGTGCGCTGGTCCTCCTCCTCCTCCTCTTCCTCCTCCTCCTCCTCCTCTTCCTCTCTCCTCTCTCCTAGTTCTCCTCCTCCCTCCTCATCATCAGTATCGCCCAGGCATCGACATGCTACTGGGCGGCCACGACCACTTCTACCTCTACGACCGCGAGAGGAACATCGCCATGGCCTCAGAGGGCCCTGGTCCCTCTCTGCAAGGGCCCGCGTATCATAGACCGCCCGCGGAGTTCAACAGATGTGCCAGCCGCGATCGGGGGGACGCAAGCCATCCGCTGACACCGAGCGGGGAGAGACGCCGATACCGCTGCCCGTCCCTTGTCGCCCTGGCCGGACGCACCTGCTGGGTAGAGCGCGCCCCGGGAGAGGTCTGGGGAGCAGCTGTCCGAGAGATCCCGGGGGCTGGCTGGGCCAAGAGCGGTGCTGCTGCACAGCAGGGGCAAAACATTGAACTCTGGAGCATCCCCTCGACGTCTGGGCCCCACGTATTCCTAACTGCCTCCGCTCGAGGGAGGAGCAAACACATCCCGACCCTCAGAGTTATTGGTGTTTTAGAAACGGTCCCTCGCGTTTACTGGACAACACCGTCCTGCTCGATTTCTTTTTGGGGCGCGCTTGCGAAAGGGCCTCGTCTGTATGACGGCGCCGAGCGTGGGGGGAAGAGAAGGCCTTCTCAGAAGGCTCCGAAGTCTCCCGGCCTTCTGAGAAGTTCTCGGAGCCTTCCCCGAAGGCACAGAAAATCTTTCAGAAGGCGCGAGGGCTTCTGAGAAGTCCCGCCGCCGTCTGAGATGGCCTTCTCATTCTCACTCCCCCCCTCCTTCGCTCGCCGCCGAGTGGTCACCGTGCGGGTGGTGCTCATTCGCCCTCTACCCACGTGCTTGGCCCCTGGCCCTGCTTCTCGGCCGCGCGTGCGAAGACTCGCGAGTGCAGGATGGTGTTGCGTCTGCTCACGACCCTGCCCGAGAAAGAGCTGAGAAAGAGAGAGAGAGAGAGAGAGAGAGCTGGCCCAGGCTGCTCCAAGAGGTGCGGCCCCTGCTGCAGCTGCGAGGCGATCCTTCCATCAAACGGGCGGGCATGCCGAAGGCATCGGATCTGGCGACGAGCGCTGGCACGCCGGTCCACCCGTCGAGCCCAATACCATAAATACTATCTAGCGAAGCTGCCGGTCCCACGGAACAATGCTGATGATTGCCAGGAAGCTGCCAGGGGGGGAGAGGGGGAGACGGGGAGGTGCGAGGCTTTTTGGGCCAGTCCCCGGCGAGCAACTGATCGTGAGGATCGCGCGCGTCGAGGATGAGAGTTACCCGCACAGGCAAACAGACCTCGCACAGAAAGGGATCAGCCGTGCGTGGTTTGGCCTCCAGAGGCCTTCCTGGTCCTCCAGGGGCCTCTGGAGGCCTCTCGGGGCCTCCAGGGATCTCCAGGAACCCCGAGGGGAAGGGTGCCCGGTGTGGCCCCAGGCGCAGTGATCCCAAGGCTGGCGCCCTGCGGCCGTTCCCTCACTGCGGCGTCGAGAAATGAAGAGGGGGCCCTGTGGCGCGACTTGTTCTCCCACGTCCGAATACAACAGTGGCACGTGTGCCCTGGCTGCTGCACGAAGGAGCGGCGAGGGACAGGAGGAGGAAGAGCGTTGTGGCCATCATGGTGTCTTGCGGGGGCCATCTCGGTTTCTCTTGGAAGCCACCTCGGGGCCTCTTCGGAGCCTCTGGGGCTGCCTGGGAGTGCCTGGGGGTTGTCTGTTTGCGTCTTGGAGCTGAATCAAGCCATTCACCCATCGGTCATTCCTGATCGGCTCGATCGGTCGGGGTCTCGATCTGAGGAATGCTCCGCGCTTCGGCGCGAGCCAGGCCGGCACGATTCGGTGCCGATCGGGCAAGCGGACTGGCTCGGGCAGACCGCTTCCAGGGACGACAAATAGCAAATTGCATCAACACAAACGTTCGGGGCTCCGCGCGGATCGGCGCCAGGGCCGCCAGGGAGAGGGGTCCAGCGCGGATTCAAGAAATCCGCGCGGAGCTCGAAGAGTTTATGTTTACCATATGTTTCTGCGTGCTCCTATCCAGGGACACGGGGAGGGAGAATCGGGCTGGGCTAGGCCATGGATGAATCGTTATCAAAGTGTCCCAGAACGCTCTCAGAGCGTTCCAGGATGCTCAGAGGAGGCCGCGGCGCCCGATACATCGTCCAGAACCGCAGGATTTCAGAGATCACCGATTTGTCTGGTCCGATTTTGTCCCTGTCCAGGCTTCGTCTTAGCGACGGACGAGAAGGGGGTTCCCAGGGATACCCGCGCTTCGAGCGTAGCTGCCCGGGCTGGCGACCCGGGAGGCTCGCACGGCTCGCACAGCGGATTCGCGTCGTGCTGGCGCGGTCGCGACGCCAGCGCGTGCGCGCCAGTCGACGAAGAATCAATGGCATGAGCATCAATGGTCGGAGCTCTGCGCAGATTTCTTGGATCGGCGCTGGCTTCCCCTGGCGGCGCTTCGGGCGCCGTCCCTTGCGCGCTTCGCGCACCAGCGAGGTGGGTTCAGCGCAGATCCACTAAATCCGCGAAGAGCTCCAACATCTCATGTTCATGCTGGTGTCTGCTCCTCTACGCGACGCCAGCGCGTGCGCTGCAGGTCTAGGGCCACAGGCGGCCTGTGCACTGTGCTCGGTCAGGGCTGAACGGTCCCGGCTGTCAGAAGGCCAGGGTCGCCCAAGGCTGAACGATCCACGCGGTGCAGGACATCAGGGTAGCAATACGTGCCAGGATTTCCTAGCTCCCCCAGGTGCCCCAATGTTCCTGACAGGCTGCAGAAACGAGGACCGCTGGCTAATCCAGAATTCCTGGAACGCATCCTGAGCCGATCGCATCACGACGTCTTTCCCGTGCGGAGAAGCCAGCGCACGGGCCGCCGCAACACGTGACCGCACCATACAGTCGGCCCGGAGCAGTTGGTCGACCCTGCCAAATCAAGGGTACCCTTGCGTCCTGTGCATCGCGCGTCGTGCCCTCTGCAGTCCCGAGGCCAGGGTACCCTTGGGTCATGTGGTCGTGGAGGCCACGCTGCCCGCGGAATAGCCTCGTGTCCTGTCGCGTGTCCTGGGAAACCAATTCTGCCTGTAGCCATTTTTGGGGCGCAGAGCCGCCCGAGCCCCGGCAGCGGCCCGCCATGGCCTGGAGCCTCGCGGAGGGCCCCCTGCGGCGCGGCGGCGCGGCCCGCGGCGCGCCCCGCGCTGCATGCGCGGCACACGGCCGCCGCCTGCCGCGCGGGCCGGCCCGGCGGCGGCCGCCGTTGCGCGCGGCCTCGCCCCCACGCCAAGGCGCCGCGGCGGCGTGCTCGCGCTGCTCGCGGCGGCGGCGCTGCGCTCGGCGAAGCTCGCCGCCCTGGCCGTGGCCGCGGAGGCCATCCTCGGAGGAAGGCCCGCGGAGCTTAGCTGCCCTGATGCGCCCGTGCTGAAACGCAGCACGTACAATTCTCAAAACGTCCGTGCCAATGCGTTGCGTTGCGTGTTGGCTCAACGTATTGGCCCACATTTTGGCGAACGCATCGCGTCAAACCGACGTTACCAATCTGCGTGTTGAGTTCCGTATCGAAACGCTACGTGTTGCGTGTGGCGCATCGGCGCAGCTGAGGCGCTGAGGCAAGGGTCCCTTGTTGGCCCTCGGGGGGCCCTCGTGGCCACGTCTGAACGCAGCTCGGCAAACTGGAAAGGCACTGATACCGCCACCATTGTCTCGTTTGGCCCCTTTGGGCCTCCTGGGAGGCCCTCGTCGCCACCGCTGGATTCGCCTCGAGATCCTGATCAGCACGCACACTAGGGAGCAGCGGTATCGGTGCCTTTTTGTTTCTCCACTTTGGGACCCCGGGAGAGGCCGGGGGACCGATTTTGAGCGAATTGGAGGCGCTTTTGTTTCACCGATGTGGTCTCGCGCAGCTCTCCTCCGACATCCGCCGGTTGGCGCGCTGGTTGGCCCGCCGGGGAGAGGACGAACACGGGCGGGCCCAGCTGCTGCTGCAGAGCCAGGCCTGCGGCTCGAAGCGGGCGCAGGGCAGGGGCAAGCCCGAGAAGGCCCGGGTCAGCCCAGCGGCGGCGGAGCTGCGGGAGCGCATACGGTCCGGGCTGCGGGCCGTGCGCACGTGCGGGGGGGCGGGGCAGGCGCACGAGCATCGAGCCGGACGACAGGGGGGGGGTTGGGAAAGGGGGGAAATACGAAATTTGCTGCGTGCAGCTGACTTCGGCCTCACCGAGGGGCCCAGTCCTCGATACGTAGCCGCCTCCGGCGCCGGGAGGCGCCGTGAAAATCAGCTACGTGAGCTGATTCCCAAACCCCCCTTTTGCTATCCCCCCCTTTCGCCCGACCCGAGAGCAGCGCGGGGCCGACTGCGAGCTGGCCGCGATAGAGCCGCGCCAGTTCATGCAGCTCCGCTCCATGTGGGGGATGTCCGAGGACGCCTTCTGGGCGAGCCTCTGCGACGAGGAGCTCGAGGGGGGCTCCCTGCAGGCCGCCGGCAAGAGCGGCAGCCTGTTCTGGTATTCCGCGGACGGGCTCTTCGTCATCAAGTCCATCAGCAGGGGCGAGCTCAGGACGCTGCTCGACGGGCTGGACGGCTACGCGCAGCACTTCGCGGCGAATAGGAACTCTCTGATCTGCCGCTTCTTCGGCGCATTCGATGTGAGGCACGAGCGCCAGCGCTTAACACTGGTGGTCATGAACAACGTGTTCTGCACGGCACGCTTCAAGCCGCATTGGATTTACGATCTCAAGGGCACCACGGAGGACCGTTGGGTCAATCCAAGGTCGGGCGTTGTGCTCAAAGACCTGAACTTCGCCGACAAGATCATCGGCATCGCCGACTTCAAGCACAAGGTAGAACTCCTGCACGCGCTGAAGAAGGACACCCGCTTCCTCCGCGGCTGGCGCGTGATGGACTACTCCGTCGCACTCGGTGTCCACTACTGTGAGGAGGACTGCCGGCCGAAGGCAGAGCAGCTCGTGCCCCAGCTGGGCATCGCATCCCCATTGGCGGTCGTGCGGGGCTTCGAGCCGCACTACCAGTGCACCCTCGTGAGGGACCAGGCGGCGAGGCGGGTGGTGTACCACATTGGCATCATAGACATCTTGCAATCCTACGACGTGCGCAAGTGTCTGGCCCACGCTGTGAAGTCCATGAGCTTGGGCTGGGTGCACGAGATCGACACTGCGCCCCCTGACTACTACGCGAGGCGTTTCAAAACTTCGTTCCTGGGCAAGGTGCAGACCTTCCGGGAGCCTGGAGACCGTGTTGCCAGGTTCGTCCACCGCTTGCAGACGGGCATAGACAACGGCACAATCCCTCGCCCGACGTTTGCGGTGCCCCGGGGACGGGTGGGCCACGCTGAAGAGGCGACCCAGCCAGACACGTCCGAAAACGACAGCCTGGTCGCCTCCGTGCCCCCCCTCCCCATGGCGAGGCTCTCGCTGGCCGTCGGACTGCCGCAGGGCGGCAGCGAGGAGGTGACGATGGACGAGTCGGTGGATTTTGCAGTGAGGTGCGGGGGGCACCTGCAGCTCCTGCGCGGCACGGGGGGGCTATTCCGCAGCCAACCCGAGGAGGTGGAGGCGTTCTTGGACATGGACCGCCACGCGCTCGTCTTTCAGGTGAGCGATGCACACAACAAGAAGCACAAACAAACACAACAACAAACATCAACGCAAAACATATCAAAACGAGGTCGATTGCGCCGCCATTCACGCGCGAGCTTCCCGCAAAAGCTCGCGCACAAGCGCTCTCGCTTCCAATGTAGCGTGCTTCGCTGGCAGCCCGCGTAAGCCGCAGCGTGAGATGGATATTCCATCATGCGTAAGACCCGTTTCTTGTCATCGCTCAGGTGATGTCCAGGGGACTTTTCGGGCAGAAGCGGCCGACCTCCGCAGTGGCGTGCTACAAGATCCGCCGCGTCTACTTATCCCTTACCAACCACCGGCCCAGCGACCGTTACTGCATCGCGTGCAAGACCCCCATCAAGGTCGAGGCGGAGCCCGTTGAGTCGCGGCGTTTCACGGTCGAGGCCGACGACGCTCCTTTGCGTTGCACAGCGCCCAGCCGGCGCCAGGCGAAGTTATGGGTCACCGCGCTGGAGGTGGCAGCGGCATACGCGGAGGCGAACGTCGAGGACGTGGAGGAGGTGACGTCCGCCGCCGTCGCCGCCGCCAGGTCGCAGGGGCATGCCACCGCGGACGCGCAGCCGCACCTGGCTCTCTCCCCGGCGGCGTCGGCCTTCCTGGGGTCCGCCGAGGGCTACCTGTCCGAGGCCGAGGTCGGGGCCGTGCTGCTGGCGGCAAGGTGCGTCCGCCTGGGCCCGCTGGAGCCCTACCTCACGGGCCCAGAGGCGGAGCGCCGCTGGGAGATTGGGCATCGCGTAATGGGGGGGGGCGCTAAATGGGGGGGCAAAGGGTGCTACAGAAAAGGGGCTCTTTAGGGCCCTTGAAAGGGGTCCTTTAGGGCCCAAGAGGGGGTTCGGGGCCCGAGGGGTGCACCTTTCTTCCCCCCCATTTACGTATCGCCCCCCCCATTGAGGGACGCCCAAGGAGAAGCGGCGCGTCAAGTGGATCTTCGGCTTCGTCGACACGGACGGCACGGGCAGCCTGGGGCTGCCAAAGGTCAAAGCGCTGTGGCGGGAGATGAACATCAACGACGCGGAGGGCCAGGAGGTGCTCTCCCGGTACATGCGCGAGGCGCGGGAGGGCCGCCGGGCGCGCGGGGGCAGGCAGATCGGCGCTGGGCGGGTGGTCCAGCTGGCAGACTTCCGGCGGATGCTGCGTTACATCGACTGCGCGCACGGCAAGGTCGTCCTCGGATTTGTCCACCGCCTCGCCTCGGCAGACGCGCGACACGAGCCCGAGGACTGCGTGCCGATCGATGGAATCGTCAGGCTCTTCGCGGAGGTGCAGCGAGTCGCCCCGGCGCCGTCGGTCAGCCAGGTGAGGCGGCTCCTCGCGAGCATGCTACCACCCCTGGTCACGAAGAACAAGTGCCTCTCGCCGGTCGGCTTGGCGCACCTCCTGTGCTCCCCAGGCAACTCCCTCATGGACCCCGCGAAGCGCCCCGTCTTCCAGGACATGACGCGCCCGCTCGCGGCGTACTTCGTGGAGACGTCCCACAACACCTACCTGGAGGGTAACCAGCTGAGCAGCCGGTCTTCGGTCCTGCGCTACGTGGAGGTCCTGCGAACCGGTTGCCGCAGCGTCGAAGTCGATGTTTGGGACGGCGCGGACGGGGAGCCTGTGGTGAAGCACGGGTATGCAGTAACGACGGAGGTTCTGTTCGAGGACGTCATTCAGGCTATCGCCGACCACGCCTTCGTGGCGTCGGAGTACCCCGTGATAATCTCCGTCGAGCAGCACTGCTCGTCGCTGCAGCGCATAAGGCAGGGAGACATCTTGGTGAGGGTGCTAGGGAGCCGCCTGCTGATGCCGCCCTGGGACGAGGAGAGGGGCAGCATCGACTTCGACAGGTTCGGCGTGGTGTCACCCTGGGCGGCCAGGGGGCGCTTCCTGGTAAAGTCGGCCCTGGGCTGCTGCGACCGCTGCAATCGGCCGCTGCCAAGCTACGACCGGTGCGTGGCGCTGCCCACGAAGAAGCTACTCAGCCGCGAGAAGACCGAGATCCGGCAGCCAGGAGGCCCGGAGCTCGGGCCAGCAGAGTCGCCCAGGGAGTGCTGCGCGGCTGACCCGGACGCGAGGTGGCACTGCCACGTCAGTTCGATGACGGCCAGCAAGGTGCTCAAGCTCCGCCACTCCGCGGGAGAGGACTCCCTGAGGGCCTGGAACTCGCAGTACCTGCAGCGGGCCTACCCGGAGGGCACGAGGATCGCCTCTGGCAACGTGGACCCGCTCCCGCTCTGGTCCTGTGGGGTGCAGATGGTCGCCATGAACTACCAGACGCCCGACGCCGGCCTCCTCATGAACGAGGTCGGAGGTTGATAGACCTCCTACCCTGACACGTCGATTAAGGAATTCGCCGTTTTCGGTTCGCGAGAGGGCGTCGCGGCCGTCATTTCTGCGGGTCCAGGTCCGTCGGTTTCGGTCCTATAGGCCGCTTTCCCTCAGGGGAGGTTTACGAAAGGGAGGTTTGTCCGCCGCCGACGAGGGGCTCTTCCGCAGCTACAACGGCGGCTGCGGCTACGTGCTGAAGCCCCCGGAGCTGGCCGGGGCGGGCCACGGCGCGCGCCCGGGCTGCCGCCGGCGCGGCTCCGTGCTCCGGCTCGTGGTCTGCTGCGGGCACCGCCTGCCGCGGCCGGAGGCGCCGCTGGGCCACGACGAGGCTCGGCGGCGCAGTGCGAAGCCGGCCCTCGCCGAGCAACGGTGCAGGCAGCTCGCTGAGCGGCGGGGGCGGGGTTCGGAGTTCGGCGAGCACGGGGCGAGGTCCGAACCCCACCGCCGCCTGCCATCGATTCAGGAGAGTCGACGGGGCCCCAGAAGATGCACCACCACCACCACCTGCCGCACCCTGTCCCTCTCCCGGAAGAGAGGAGGGGGAGAGGAGGGGAAGAGGAGGGTAGAGGAGGGAGGGGGAATGGAGGTGGTGGTGGTGGTGGTGTACATTCTTGGGACCCGTAGAAGCACTGGTTGGGTGGGGTAGTGTTCGGATGTCGACATCTGGAGGCCGGGCTGGCCGCGGCGTGGGGCGCGGCGGTGAGCAGCCCGCTGGTGGTGGTGGGGCTGGAGCCTGGCGGGCAGTCTTCCCAGACGCCCGCGGTGGCCTGCGACGGGTACCCAGAAGAGAGAGACTTGGCATCGCTCCGACGTGTGCATGTTTTCTCGGCGAGGGCCATCGAGGATCATCGTGGCTTATCTGGTGAATGATGCACCTCCGAGCGATGGCGAGAAGAGATCATGATAATGATACGTTCCAGGATTTCCCAGATTTCTCGGATTTCCCATATTCCCTTGTGTGCCGCACAGGTTGCACCGCTAGATGCTCTGGAAATCCTGGAACGCATCCAGAGCCAATCACATCATGACATCATTCTCGCCCTAGGTACCGCCCCGTCTTCAACCACGAGGTCGGCTTCCACGTGTCCGACAGCCCGCTCCACATCCTCACGTTCGAGGTGCGCGACGCGCCCACTGGCAGGCCGATGGCGAGGCGGGCCGTGGCGCTGGACGCCGTCCGCGAGGGGTTCCGGTGGCTGCCCCTCCACAGCAGGTCGGGCACGACCATCCCGCACAGTGGGCTCCTGGTGTTCGTGCAGTTCGTGGCGGAGTGAGGGGCGGCGCTGCCGCGAGAGCGGGGCCGGGCATCTCTTCCGCCGTCCGCCTGGCGGCTCCAGCGGCTGCCCCTCCAGAGCATTCCGGGCACGACGATCCCGCACAGAGGGCTCCTTGTCGGCGGCAGGCGAGGGGGGGGGGGACTGAGAAGGAGAAGGCCCTCTCAGAAGACCTCGGGACCTCTCCGAAGACCTCGCGCCTACTGAGAGGTTCTCCGTGTCTTCGTGGAAGACTTAGAAACCTTCTCAGAAGGCTGGGGAGCTTGCGAGCCTTCTGCGAAGGCCCGTCCCTTCTCACTAACCCCCTCGCTCGCGGCCGACTCCTGGTGTTCATGCAGTTCGTGGCGGAGTGGAAGGCGGCGCTGCTGCGAGGGCGGGCCTGGGATCACCAGCCGTCCAGGGTCCCGGCGGCTGCCCCTTGACGGGGGGCAGGCCGAGCACGACCATGCCACACAGCGGGCCCCTGGTGTCCGTGCAGGTCGCTGCGGGGTGAAGGGAGGCGCCGCCGCGAGGCCGGGGGTGGGCCTGGAGTCGCCAGGTTCTGCCAGCCGTCCTTTGGCCTCTTCGCGGCAGCCAAAGGTCCCATCCTGCTGCATCGGCGGAAGCTGCACATGGAACGCAGTGGCACTGCCACTACTTCCCCTGCATCTTGTGCAGCCATCGTGATCCGCCTTGTCACCGTGGCAGCATGACTCAGGCTGGCGAATAAAGCCGAATATGGTCCGCTGAACCGGCTCGTAGACCTTCCCAGCAGATGCTGGTGCTGGATTTGCATTGTGCAGACATCCCCAAACCTGCTCATTTCTCTACTGCCACTGTTCGCAGCTCTGGGGATGAGCAGCTCTGGACATGCTCATGTTCGCAGAAGGCCCGCATATGTTGGCGGAGGCATGACAAAGGGGCTTTCGCCAGCGGAACCGGCGGAAGCAGGCGGAATCGCATAAGACCCCGAGGAGAGGTAAACGGCGATTTCCTCCGGATGCTCGGAGCTTCTCAGATGATGATGATGACGAGGAGGAGGAGGAGGAGGAGGAGGAGGAGGAGGAGGAGGAGGGGGAGGAGGAGGGGAGGAGGAGGAGGGCGACGACGACGGAGGACAGGTAGGGCGAAGGAGGAGGAGGAGGAGGAGGAGGAGGAGGAGGATACCTGCGCAGAAGGGGAGAGACGAGGAGAAGGACCCCTCAGAGTCCAATTCGACCTGGAACCTCCATCCCCTCATCATCATCCTCCCTGCGGAATTCAGCCCGTGCGCCAGACTGAACATCCAGAAGGCGCGTACACCCAACCTTCACGAGCACCGACTTCCCGGGACGGGAGCCTCATGCGGTGGCGCAGTGACTGTGCTACCCCCCAGGGGCAACGTCAGGGGGGGAGAAGCCCAGGAGGGGAATGCATCGACCCTCCATCGCCAACCTGTCGTCGACAGGGGCCTGACAGTCCAACCCGACCAGGTACGTGCCCGTTGCGCTATCGGGTGGGTAATCGGCGACTGATCGGCGGTGCATCGCCGATTCAAGCTCGCTGTTTCTTCCCTGAGCTGGTCGTGCCCTGACGTTGCCCATCGACCGTCCCCTTGGTCTGACACGGCACGAGCCCCGCCCAGCGTCGACAGGGCTGCGCCCACCCTGGAGGGGCATCGACGCGGACTGTGCAGCCCTTTCCGCCCCCTTCCCCCCGTCACTCGAAGAACCAAGAGTTGAATCAGCATAAGCTCTCGGCCCTCGGCGCGGATTTCTGGATCGGTGCTGGGCTCCTGGCGGCGCCTCCGGCGCCGCGCGGAGCCGGGGAGGAGGGCCTTGCGCCGATCCAAGAAGTCCCCGCGGAGCTCCGATAATCTAGGTATACTTATGCTGTTGTTCATTCCTCTCCTCACCGGCCGCGAGAGATTCCGTCCTCCCTGTCTCCAAGAGACGATGTGGGCGCCAGCCGAGGTATCTATGGATCTCCACCATGTTGGAGAGGCGGTAGTCGTCGTCTGGAGGGAACGCGCCGATTTCGGCGAGATCTGGGTTTCCAGAGAGGCCCGACACCCTCGTGTTCCCCGCCCTCGCCCCTACGAGACACCCCGACTTCGCAAATTTGGGCCCGCGCGCACACACACGCACATGTTCATGAGCAGCTCTGATGCGTCATCTCACTCCGAGTTGTTCAGTAAGCGTGGGAGGTGGATCGCGTGGGAGTGTGGGAATGAACTGTCCTTCGTGGAGCATGTGGGGTTGGACTGCCGGGGGGGGGGATTCGGTGGGCGTGTTTATACCCTTCCCTGAGAGCCGACGGCGCGAACAAAAATGCAACATCGCGTAGAATCAAGACCACAGCCGTGGACTGTTTCGAGCCGGATCGATCTGAGAGGTCCCGGGGCCCGAAACAAGGCCAATTGACCCCTGCAACGCCAGGACTCGAGGGCCGGACGGGCACCTGTCCCCAGGGCCAGTGTTCCATTCCGAGTCAGTCTTTGACGGTCCTGGGGCCCGGCGAGGGCCCCCAGAGGCCGAAAACGGCCAGAAGGTTCCCGTCGTCTTCCTTGGCATCGTTCGGACGCGTGCACTTTTCCTCGGCGAGGACCATCGCGAAGCATCTCGGCTCATCCTGCAAAAGAAATGCAAACACGAAGCCTAAAAATGGCACTGGGAGTGGACTCCGAGGGATCGCAAGGTCCTTTCCTACGACGAGAGCAACGGTGCCCGGACAAAAAGTGTCCACACCGACGGCTTGAAGACAATCAGGCATGATATGATGGTAACGGCACTTGCAATATACATGTGGCTCGCCCCCCCTCACCCCTAAACTCAAAGTTGAAGTGTCCATATTTTGTGCCCCGCGCGTCGCCTCGCACCCAACCCCGTCAACTTTGGTTTGGCGGGGGGCGGGGGCGATGGATATCTGTTCGACGCAATTCGGTGTATCGTATTGGCGCGATGGGTGTGGACACTTTTTGCCCACCCACCGAAGTCTGGGCCTGGTGCAGCCGGGGCGGCAGCCGCCCGCCGCGGCGCGGGCCGGCGTGCGCCTGCCCTGCGTCTTCTGCCGCGTGCCGTTGCGCGCCCTTCCTGCGGGGGCCCCGCGCGCGCGCGAGGCTGGCTCAGAAGCCCAGGTTCGGCGGCAGGCGAGGAGGGGAAATGAGGAGGAGAAGGCCCTCTCAGAAGACGGCGGGGCTTCTCAGAAGTTCGGGCCAGACGAAAGGGGGGGATTGGGAAAGGGGGGGCTACGAAATCTGCTGCATGCAGCTGGTTTCGGCCCCACCGAAGGGCCCGTTCCTCGATACATAGCCGCCTCCGGCGCTGGGAGGCGCCGGGAAAATTATTCACTGCGTGGAGCTCCCCATATGTGCATCTATTCGCATGGACCTGTCCGCCGTGAGAGTCTAGGCGCAAGAGTTTTCGAATATAAGCGGGCTTGAATTGTGACGGTCTGGTCATGAATCTAACTTCGAACGGGTTGGAGCGTGAATGAGTCTCGGTAGTACGAGCGCGTCTCTGCGCATGAGCCTGGGGCCTCCTGGGGCCTCCAGAAACCTCATGGGCCTTCCTGGGGCCTCCAGGAGCCTCTTGGGGCCTCCTGGGGCCTCTTGGGGCTTCGAGTGGCCTCCTGAGGCCTCCTGGAGCCTCGCGTAGCCTCCTGGAGCCTCCTGGGACCTCCCAGGGAGGATCCGTGCCCCAGGAGAAGCCCGATCTATAGGAACAGACGTACATAAAACATTGCGGATTGGAGCCACAGAACGTAAGATACCAAGGACTCGTGCCCCAGGGGAGGCCCAAAATATAAGAACATTTGTAAAACATGTAGGGTTGCATACATAGGAGAAGGACAACATATAGAAACATACGGGTAACATCAAGGAGGCGTGCTCCAGGTGAGGCCCAATCTATAGGAGCACACGTAAAACACATGGGATTGGAGCCACTCCTGTTGCCTCATCATCATCACCACCATCATCATCAGCAGCATCATCATACTCATCCATCATTCACCGTCACCATAATACTCACACCATACTCTCACCATACCATAATCATCACCATGACAATAATCATTGGTATGGGTGTTCCGGCGCGGTCGGAGAATAACAATAACCCCATCCTCTGGATACGGGGAACAAGAACCCCATCCTTTGGATATGGGGAACAACCAGTTACGTGAGCCGATTCTCAAACCCCCTGTTTGCTATCCCCCACTTTCGCCCGGCCCGAGAAGTCCTCGCGCCCTCTGGGAAGTTTGGTGTGTCTTCGGGGAAGGCGTAGGAATCTTCTCAGAAGGCCGGGGGACTTGCGAGCCTTCTGAGAAGGCCTGCCCTTTCTCACTTCCCCCCCGGGCTCGCCGTGGACAAGTCAGGACCTCGCCAGAATCGGGGAAACGTAAAGCTCGAGTTGGCTGGAGCCCAGGTCTGCTGACGCTGTTTGACGGGCCCGTGTCTGATTGTCGACGGTCCATCGTTTCCTGTCAAATTTCAGGCTGGGTCTCATCATTCTCCTGACGCCCCCGTCGGGCCAACCCGAGTCCCCCGAATCTGGGGCTTATGTCTCCCCGACCCAAGCCGAGGGGGGGCGCCATGAGACTTGTCGCCGCTCTCGGCTTCCACGTGGGCTGTTCTCGGGGCTCCATTGCACTGCATCGCCGTGCGCCCAATGGCATCTATACACAGAAGTCGTGGGCGCACGGGCCCAGGTCCCGAACAGGGCCTGCCCGAATGCGTTTTTGTGCTCGCGCCGTGGATCTAGCGATCTTAAGAGTACGTCTGCTGCGTTGTGCGGCGTGCGTGCGGTCTGGATCAGCACGTGCGTTGTGAGTGGTGCACGGTTGCAGTTTCCCGTTGGCCGTCGTTCTTAACGATAGGTTGTTGCTGATCGTTTCTGGCGCTGGGAAAGAAGCGTTGATGCTCTGACGTGCAATGACATGGCTAGGTCTTGACGGATGGTTCGTGGTGGCGTTCGGGGCCGCGAGAGTGTTTCCGGCCTTGCTTTGGGAAGTTATTTGCGGGGCGTTTGCTGCGCGTCTGGTTAGGCTTTTCCGCGCCTTGCGCGCCTGTGTGCATGGCACGCCTGCCATTCCTGGTGCCAGTGGCGAGCCTGGCGTAATTGGCACCCCTGGCGCGGCTGGAGCAGCACATGGCGTGTTTCGCGCGTATCTGGCGCACGCGACGCGCTTGGCACTTGGCGTACCCCGCGCGCTAACATGCCTGGCGCGGTCTCGAATCTATCGTGACAGAACGCGCGTCGCGGGGGTGGCGCGAGAGCTTCCAGCGCCGCCGCCGCTGCCCAGATCCCCGCCACTGCCGCCACCGCCACGGCGTGTCCGAATTTGGCGCTCACGCGGCCAACTCCCCGACATGCCCGCCGTCAGCCCGCATGTCGTACGGCCGCGCCCGAATGGCGCCCGAAAAGGTGGGCCAAAAGTGCACGGGGCCGCCCCCGATCGGTGCCCGAATCGACGCCCGAATCGATGCCCGAATCAATGCGGTCGTTTTGGCGTGCCCGGGCGGGTCGCGGTTTGAATGGTGTACAATGCGGTTGGAGGGTGTATCATGTCATGTAATGAGTGGTTTGTGTTCGGGTACATAATTTTTCACTCGGGCACATAATCGTTTTCATTGCAGTCCCCTTCGGGCGCATCATCATTTCCATTCGGGCGCATCACTGTTTCATTACACTGCCACTCGGGCGCATTATCGTTTCCATTCGGGCCAAATCTCGCTTTCGTTCAGGAACCGACTCGCGCACATGATTTGGGCACCGATTCGGGCACGTACCGTACTGCCGCCGATTCCACATAGGAGTTCCCGGCACACGAGCGGGTGGTTTCGAGCGCGCCGAGCGGTGGTTGGCGCATGCGACCCGCCGCCCCGAGGCTTGTGATCTGCGGCAGGGGTGCCGCCGCCGTGGGGTGCAACCGTCGGGGGCCACTGCTAAGGGCGCGGTTGGGGGCTACCGTGTGGGTTCACGAAGACACCGACGGTGAACCCCAAGGGGGTTATCCGACGGTGGCCCATTGTGTGTACTTTGAGCGCGCAGAGAGGTTTCCCCCCCGACAGGGTCCCCTTGGGGGCCTGCCGCCGCGTCTACCTCCCGCGGCCCCAGTGGACGCGCGCGCGCCATTCCAGGGCCACGTTTGGCTGCCCGGGCATCGTGCGAGAGCGTACGCGCGCGTTCGCCCGTCGAATTCCAGCGCGCGATCGTAGCTCCAACGTTGCAGCCCTCAACTGACATGCGCACTTCCTGCTGCGATGTGCGTCGTTGTCGTTGCGACGTTGGCGCCAGTTTGAGAGTCGCGCGCCATGCCGTCCGTACGAACTGAACCACGGGCGTGGGAAAACGACGGCGCACCAGGCGAACGTTGAAAAATCTGGCTTCCAATTCGGGAGCCATTCGGGCACAGCTCGGGCACCATAACTGACTTGGGCTCGTGCGCCCACGACGGAACCGATCGTGAGTCGGAGGGTGTCGATCTATGCGCCACGTCGTCTGGTCGGCCAGGGAGCCAGGGAGTTCGGCGAAGGAATTCGGAGCATAGACGCTCCAGCGTCCCATTCTATACGCCGACCAAACGACGTGGTTCATACATCAAGCCAATCCCAGTGGGCATCGCGACCTTCATATTGACTGAGCAGAACATACACCATCATAGACCACATTGGCATGGTTTGCTGTGGACCTGTTTGGAACGCGTTTGGAGTTACCACGGGCGTAACAAAACATTTGCATCAGCGCTAAACTTCGTCAAGGGTCCCGTCCCCCCAAGCAGTCGGCTACGCGCAGGAGTGGTCCCCCGACGGGGTGACCTTTGATGCGGGCCCACAGGCGCCCCTCCACCACTGACGTGCGCGCTCGGATTTGGCACCCTCCTCCGCCCCCAAAGGTTCCCTGCCAAAGGACACGCTTGGTTAGGGTCATTCCTGAACGCAGCCAACCCCGGGCCAGTGAAAACGACCCGGGGCGAAAAACTTGTACAGGGGAGCCTTGGGATGTCCAGGGCCCGCTTAGGACCGTTTCGGCCTACGGCAAGACGTTTTGCCCCCCCCACCCCCCACCCCTCCCCTTCGATAGAAGGCGCATTTGAGTTCAAGAGCGGCTTATCCTCGCTAAAGTCGGCCCTGGCCTGCCCTGGAGCGCGTCCTAACCAGGACTGGCGGGTCCTGTTGTGGCCACGAGGGCCGCACTACAAGAGGCAAGCAACCATAGATGCCATTCCCTCTCCGGAGGTCCCTACAGGCCCTCCAGAGGTCCCCCTGTGGCCTCCAGAGCATCCGAAGGTTTGCGAAGGTTCAAGACAGACACGGACATCCAAAACTTTGATATTCTCCTCCCTCCCTCCCCCCTCATGGATCATCCTACCCCTCGAGAGGGGGGCTGCATCCGAAGTCGTGAGCAGGGTTGTGTGGCGAATCTGGTCGTGGCGACGAGGGCCTCCCAGGAAATCCCACACCATCTGAATCCCTTGGCTCGGGAAGGAGGTCCTGGACCCCGAGCTTTCCCCGAGACCGGCCCTTCGCCCCGATCCCCTGTTTGGTTGTGCTGGGGCGCAGGAAAGACCCCCCGGAAGTCCCGGCCCGTTCCCGAGGGCCGGCTCTTTCTTCATCCCGAGTCGTTCTTTTGACGGTCCCGGGGCCCAGCGCGGGCCCACGGAGGCCCTGAAGATTGCTGCAAGCCTTCGGTCTTGATTGTGCTCACGACGCGAGCATGTTTTTGGGCCCCCTCCCGTTGTCGGGGGCCGATGTATGTCCACCGCCCCCGCTCGCGCACTCTGTGCCAGACCAGCTGGTTTGTAAGGATGGTGTACAGGAGTCGTGCCCCCGGGTGACGCCATTTTTGCACACAGCCCCGGCTCCACGGTGGTGTGCTGGACCAGCTTGTTCGTGGGGGTGGTGTACAAAAATCGTGTGCCCAATGTGAGGCGTTCCAGAAAGGGCCTCGCCTTCCAGGATCGAAGGAGTTGCGATCTCTTCCTCGGCGGAAGCTCGGCGGCAGGCGGCAGAAGTGAATGGTGCGCCCCGACGAGGTGGCAACATTTGGGGTTCAGTTTTTTTTCCGGAAGCCGCCACAAGCCCTCGGTTTTGATTGTGATCCCGACTCGAGCATATATGCCAGTCAATCCAGGATGGAGGAGGAGGAGGAGGAGGAGGAGGTGGTGGCTGCGGCCGAGGTCAGCCTTTGTGCTCGACAGGTTTCAGTATGCGCAGAAGCTGAAGTGAAGCAGGAGTGTAGCTATCCTTGACCCAAACAGGGCACGACTCGAAGTCACGTTAGATGAGACATTGTTTAGCTTTCGTGTTGGAGTTACCTAAGTGGTGGTGGATGAATGAAAGTTGCCAAGGTCAAGAGCGGATCGGACTTCAAGCACCTGTCGCACGTGACCATCCACCTGCAGCACGGCCAGGTCGTCGCCTCCGAGTGCGAGCGCTTCGACGTCACGCGCGGCGTGCCCATCCGCGGGGGGGTCAGGAGACGCACGCTCGCAACGGAGGAAGGGAAGGTAGCGGTACCTTGAAGCTCGCTGAAGGGCAGCGAAAGTGATTTGTGTTTCTGGGACGACGGAGGAGGGGGCAATGCACGTCGTGTAAGAGCGAACCGTAGTTGCACAACCGTCAGTAAGAGCAACCCTAAGATCCGAGTTTCCTGCGAATGGGGTCGTGAGGATTGATCTTGACTGATCAACCGCGCCGGCCGAGAGTATTGGGACCTGGCCCTGGAAACAACGTTGCCCCCCAGCGACTTCCAAGCGATACCGCGACCCCCTGCCTCACGGCTGGATTCTAGGCATCCCAGGTGGGGTCGGAAGTTCGCGCCGCATCGCCGATGCGGCTCGATGTGGAACCTGATGTTCTCCACGCCGATTGCGCCGATGCATCGCCGACGTCGCCGATGCATCGGTGATGTGTCGCCGATGCATCGGCGATGCGTCGCGATCCTCCGACCCCATGTACTCGGACCCCATCTAGGAGGCATCTATGGATTCGCCCCGAAATTCTGGCAGAACGCATCCTGGGAGAGGTCCAGAGAGTGGCAGTATCGGTATTGTTTGGTTTCCCCCTCCCCCCCCAAAAAAAACACTGCATCTGAGGTCGGCGCTGGACACCCCTGCTCCTGGCGCACAAAGCGCACCTGGGACGGCCCCCCCGAGGCGCCGCCTTTAGGATCCAGAGCGGATGCGGGACCTTCGGAAGTTTTTGCTTCTGCCGTTTTTCGTCATTCGGCACATGCCCCGCCTCCCTGGGTCAGGGCTCCAGCGTCCAAAGTCGAGGACAGATGTTCTTGGACCAGGTGGGAGGAAAAAGAGAGGGCGGCGGGACAAGCGTGTCTCTCGCCCCCCCGCCATCGACGCCGAGATGGCAGGCTTGGTGGACACGCTCCCAGAGGGCCGCGATCCTCTGATCGGGCCTCGGTCGTGGATCATGGGTCATTGGTCGTCATCCTCCCTCTTCTTTTTCCTCATTACTCCCCCTCTCTCCGCCTCCCTTCTCCTTATCTCTGATCCTCGCCTCCCTGGCCGCCATGGTCGTGCCAGTCTTCGTCGTGATGCGTTTGAGCGGATGTCGGGGCCCTCGTCGTGCTGTCCCCGCACGACTGCGGGCAGCACCTTCACCCCGACATCCACTGGTACGCATTACGACGAGGACTGGCACGACCATGGCGGCCAGCAGTTCCATGGCTCATCGGCAGCGACAGCAGGAACACAGAGCCGTCCCTGCCGCCAGGGTGACCTAATTACCGTGACGAGCATGATGCTCTCTGGGGATGCGGTTGGCCACCTCCTGAAGGATGGGCTGGCATCCCCCGAATCGCTCGGTTGGAGGATCTGACACGTGCTGCCCCACAGTCTCGCCTGAGCGTCACCTGCGAAAATGGTGGCTCGTACTCCGACTCTGGCTCTGACTCCAGCTCGGGCCGCGCTGCAGACGCCAGCTACGGCCGCGAGCCCAAGCGCTGCCCCAGCGGCGGTCTTGGCTTCGCTCTTCTTCGATGCCCGCTCCAATTTCGACGCCGAGCAGCAGGTTTCTGACAGCCATGACATTCCCGGGCAGTTCCCTTTCTCGTTCGAGCTCTGGCCTTCCTTTTTGTAGCCAGCCTCAGGACGAGGCCTTCCGGGACTTCCGTGCTGCTGGGCTCATCTCCTCCCCTTCTCCTCCTCCCGTGCACGAGCTCCGCGAGTGGGCTTGCGGCGCCGCTTGCATCCGGGAGGCCGGCCGGCTCGCACCCGGCCGCTCGACGCCAGCAGGCCGCGCCCCCCGGGGTGCCGCACGCTGGCTCCGGCGATCGCTGCCGCTCGGCGGTCCGGTCCGGCGATGGGCGCCGGGGCCCAAACCGAGTAGACGATTTGGGTATTCGTTCGACTTGCAGATCCTCGTTCGATTTGGGTATTCGTTCGACTTGCAGATCCTCGTCGTTCTCTCTCTGCTCCCTCTCCCTCCTCTTCTCCTCTTCCTCCTGCTCGTCGTCGTCCTCTCTCTGCTCCCTCTCCCTCCTCTCCTCCTGCCATGGTGAGTGTATTTTTGGGCCGTCGAGGCTGTTCAATACGGGTCTGTCGCACAACAGTGTGGCCAGCCAGGCGCTGATACGTTTTCGGGCTAAGTCGTATCTTTTACCATCTGGTTTTTCGCTTGTCCTCTTTCTCCTCCCTCATTACCCTGGACTGCGAAGCAGCGACGTTTTGCAGCGCGAGCTGTGTGCACATACAGACAGTCAAGTTTCTGGTCGTGGTCGAGCCGTTCGCGTGGGCCCTGTCTTTTGTCCAGTACACTGTCCGGTCGGCCTTCGCGGGTGCTTGAGCTGAGTCGGCTTGAGTGTTCTGCGGGATAGCCCCCACGAGGGGCAGGGGACTTCTCCCTTCTCCTGCCGCTGCCACCGTTCTCTGCGACAAAAAAAGTGATCCTCGCCTCCCTGGCGTGCTTCCTCGGGCGCCCCTTTCCAAGTCGAGGCGCATCTGGGCTCTCAAAGGGGGCCTTCGTTCTGCCAGAGGTCATTCCTTGGATCGGCGCTCGGCCGCCCCCCTCCGGCGCGCGGAGCGCGGCCGGGGCGGTGGGACACCGCCTGTGGTGAGGAACTTTGGCGCAGCGTGTCGCGCCGCTGGTTCCGGCCCACCCCGCTTCGGCGCGACACGCTCAACCACCTCCCGATTCCCCAGCGTCTGCGCCCCGAGCTTTGCCCAGTCTCCCGGGGCCGCCGCCGCGACACGCTAGCCGTGAGCTGAGGTTTTGAACCCATACGTTTGTCATACATTTCGGCCTTTGGGGCCCTTGATCGGGCTCTGGGGCAATCAAACATGGATCTGGGGCGAAACACTGTCCCGAGGAACAGGTCGGAGCCTCCTTGGGGCCGCGCAGTGTAACAACACACCATCGGATACCTGGGAATTCTAAGCCTCCCAGATGGGATCCGAGTAGATGGGGTCGGAGGACCGCGCTGAATTGCCGATGCATCGGCGATGCGGCTGAATGCGGAGCACGGTTTTCTCCACGCGGACGGTGCCGATGCACCGCCGACATCGCCAATGCATGGCCGATGCATCGCCGATGCATCGGCGATGCATCGCCGATGCATCGGCGATGCGGCGCGATCCTCCGACCCCATCTACTCGGACCCCATCTAGGAGGCCTCTAGGTATCCATCTCAGACGGTGGTCGTGTCCGTGGCAACGCCCGTGCCCTCGGGTGCCCGCCACGGCCTCCGGCGAAGCTTATGACACGCTTGCTTGACGCCAGCGCCGACCCTACATCCATCGTGCATTTGAGGCGTCGAGGCATCCTAAAAAGAGACCGAGTAAATGGGAGCGCAGTCCGAGGATTGCGCTGCATCGCCGATCCATCGGCGATGCGGCTGAATGAGGAGTCGATTTTCTCCGAGCCGACGTCGCCGATTTACCGCAGACGTCGCCGATGCATCGGCGATGCGGCGCGATCATCCGACCCCATCTGCTCGGATCCCATTTATTTGTGAGGTTTTCATCCTCTTACCTCTCGCCTCGTTGGAGGTCTCAGGATGTTTCTGGAGGTCACCCGATGCCTCTGGGGTCTTCACAAATCGAAGAGTTATACGAGATATCAGAGCCTCCGTCCTGCATCGTGGATCGCCGATCGTCGACGCCGCCGTTATGGCGCCCTCCCTCTCCTCCCTCTCCTCCCTCCCAACCCGCCTTTTGAGCCCCTTCCTAAGGACAGGTACGACCGCCTCATGGCTGACGCGTTCGGGCGCCGCGTGGGCCGGACGAGCGTGGAGCTGGACTCCCGGGAGCAGACCGTGCGTTTCGGGGACAGCCCGCTGATGAGCTTCGTCTGCGACGCCGCCGTGGAGCTCGTCGTCGTCTCCGTCTTCGCCGGCGTCGGCGCGGGGGGGATGGAAGAGTCGGATAAGCGCTAGAGTGGCTTCTCGCTGGAGTGACCTTTGGTGCAGGGCCACATGGGTCCCCCCCCCCAAGCGCTGGCCGGCGCGCTTGGATTGAGCGCCCCCCCGCCGTTCCCTAAGGCCGCGCACCGAAGGTCAGTCTTGCCTTGGTTTACTCTTGCGTGTAGCCTGTCGAAGCGGAGGAGAAACATCTCAGAAGAAACAAAAGCATAAACAGAATGAGTTTTCGAAGGGCCGCGAGGGTTTCGCGGATCTGCGCCCGACGCCCTGGGCGGCGCTTCAGGCGCCGCCCTGGCCAGGGAGGGGAGCCCAGCGCGGCTACAAACATCCGCGCGGACCTTCGAATTGTTGTCATCGTCGTCTGAATGAGAGGGACGGGGGCGAGAATGCGGAGAATGAGGAGGACAAGGAAGGAGGAGGAGGAGGAGGAGGAGGAGGAGGAGGAGGAGGAGGAGGGGTCAGAGTAAACCCAAGATGCATCGACAATGTTGCAATACACCCTCCCATTCCAAAGCCCCTTCCTCATAAGTCCCTACTTTACGAACATTCCTTACTCACGGCGGGAAGCGCTTCCCTTGAACGACGCCCCCTCGTCGGCCTGCCTGAGAAGCATCTGACATCCTCCGATCTTGGAAGGAGAGATGGAAGGAAACATAATCAGATAGCTTCTCGAACTGTCTCGCCCCGTGCTGGTGAAGAGCCATGTAGATGTTGCGCAATTGCGAACTGCTGGTCGCAAGCATTGTGCAATTCCTCAGGAGAGCACCTTTTGGAACACGAGCCGCCCTCCACCGGTTAGACTTTCACAGATGTTTGATTGCCTTGTGGTCACGTCAAAGGAGACTCAAGCGAGAGCCCAGTTGAATGAACGCACAGCCCTCCATCCGTGAAACTGTTGCGAGTGTGCGCAGCGCTTCTGGCGAAAGCCACATTTTGAGAACCACTCGCGCTCCATCCGCGTAGTGGTTCGAAGCTTCATGGGTGAGAATGCGCAGCTCTCAGGCGAGAACCACATGTTGAAAATCATACGCCCTCCGCCAGTGTAATTGGTGGAATGTTCGAAGAGGGCGGCGCGCGGCGTTAAGGCGAGAGCTTCATTCTGAAAACAAGCGCACCACTAACACGACAGTACTGGCGACACAAACGCTCGTCCAGCCTTGCCGACTCGTCTGGTGCTGCGACGCGGAGGAGCTACTTGCAAGAAAGGAAGGTGGTTGACGAGGACGACATTGAGGAGGAGGATGATGAGGAGGAGGAGGAAGAGGAGGAGGAGGAGGAGGAGGAGGAGGAGCATGGAGGAGGAGAGGGGAGGGCGGGTAAGAGAAAGAGGGGCGAGGAGGAGGAGGAGGACGACGAGGAGGAGGAGGAGGAGGAGGATAGTGACGAGGACGCCCTCTGTGGGAGGATGGTGACGAGGGCGACGACGGGAAGGAGTCACTCCCCCCCCATTCCTCTTGTCCTGGATTGGGCCCCGCCCCAGGAGATGCTGCCCGACCTCGCAGGCGCCGTGACCCGGGGCCCGCGTCAGCGTCGGCGCTTGCGTCTCGACGCCTGCGTCTTGCAGGCCTACAGCATCTCGGGGGAAAAGGCTTGAGGACGAGAAAAAGCAGCAAGAACATACATACGGCTCCGTCAATTGTATTCGCGTCACATGGGCTCTGTATTGGGCTAGCTGTCGTGGCCAACACGGGGTCACACAGCCCCGTTGGGTCACGGGGCCAATGCGGAGTCACATCAGTCCCGTTGGGCTCCCGAGGGCTGCCGAGAGGGATCACGCAACATGCCCGCCAACACGGGTGCGTGATTGCCGCATGATGGCAACGCTACAAACTGAGCGCGGCCATATTCGGAGCTCAGCCCGGAATTCTTGAACCACGGTGAGGAAGGCCCGGCGAAGCCCTGGCGGTAACCCCTTGCGGAAAACGAGCTCGAGCCAGTGTTTGGAGAGCCGTTCAATGGCCTTGTTCTGGTCAGCAAAGAGGACAGCCGTGGTCCGAACAAAATCATGTCTGCATCGATGTAACGTAGCGTAAATCCCCCGCGGCGGATCCAGGCCATTTGAGAGCAGTTGCTTCGTGAGTAGTGGAACGCGCGTGTCTGGTGCAGGGGGCTGGCGGAAGCCCGCTCACATTCTTTAATGTAGCCGCCGTCCTCTATGCGGGCGTGGTCTCCCAGGAATCGGAGTTGGGCCCTCCTGGCGACGCCGCCCCTGGCGCGCTGCGCGCGACAGGGAGCGGGGTCCAGCGCCGATCGAAGAAATCCGCGCGGACCTCCGAGAAATATTGCGCATGCCGTTGTTTGATCCTCTGAAGGTGGTCCCCCCTGGAGACATCACCTTTGCGGAGTTGGAGCTCTGGTTCGCGTCCTCCGGCGACATGGTCCATCGCCAGCCGAGTCCTGGTCCAAAAGCTTCCACACGCGAGCTGCGAACGACGACGACGAGGACGACGACGACGACGACGACGACGACGACGACGACGACGAGCCCTGTGGCGATCTAGAGCCGACGCGGGAGGCCAGCGCCCTTCCGTCCGACTCTGCGACGGGGATCTGAGGTCGGGACCGGATCCTCCAGGCCCACCTGTGAACGGTTTTGGGCGGTCAGTGAGCTTGATTTCTGATCTTGGGCTTCGGTCGGCCAGGTGAAGCTCATGGTCATCGAGCTGACTGCCGAAGAGCTCACAGACCACATCGAGAGGGGCCTGTCGCCGCTGCCGGGGGAGTCCTGGAGGCTGCTGCACCTGTCCAGCGCGCTCCGCTGCGAGGCCGACTTGTCCCTGCCCGCGGGCCGTCGGATCACAAGGCTCGGGGAAGAAACTCCCACCGATGCCAGAGCCCGTCTTGCGTCTTCGCCTGCCTGGGCCTCCACAGAACTCCTCCCACTGCGAAGCAATCGCGACGGAAGGTTTTTGCTGGTTCTTCGGCCTCTGGGGGCCCTCATCAAACCCTGGGGCTGGCGAAGATCGGCTCGGGAGGGAAAACCAGACCCCAGAGGAGGAAGGGCCGATTACACGTAAGAGTGGCCCTTCGCCAGAGTGACCTATGGTGCGGGCCCACTGGGGTCCCCCGATCGCCGGACGCGATACGGCAGTGGCCGCTACTATTGCCGCGCACCAGAGGTCACTCTTACCCAGGGTCACTCTTGCGTGTCGTAGAGAAGAGCGGCTAGGATTGTGAAACCGGCCCCCAGGGGAAGGGGTCCAGTGCCCTGAGGGTCCACGCTATACGGAAAACGCGACGTCGGCGGCCTGGGCCTTTGGGGGGGCCTCGTCTTCGCGGCTGGACTCGCCTCGGAAGCTTGGCCAGCACGCGCCCATGGGAGAGGGGTCCTGCGGAGCGGCGACATTCGCGCGGCAGGCACATGCAGTAAGACGCCCGCCTGCCAGCAGATGCCCCACGGAGATCTCTTGTTCCCCGAGGCCCCGAGGCCCCAGGGGCGGGGCCGCCTGGTGAAGCGAAACACGGACGGCGAGTGTGCCCCCGCATGTCTTCCAGCAGCATGCCTCACCGCACGTCCCCCAAACCTAATAACACACTGAAGGCGTAGCCTGAGTCAGGTCCCCGCCTTGGCATCAGGGATCATTGTTATGGACGTTTTGTTTTTTTTTCTGCCGTGCTACACCTGCAGAACAGACCCCATAGCCCTAATGTCCTGGGCCTCGAACGCTCGGGTCCGCTCTCGTAGGGGTAGGGGCCCACTCATTGCAGATCAAGGCGTCAGCGGCGCAAAGAAACGGGGTCGCCTGCGCCGACCGCGTGAGGTCGTGCGTAAGCGCCCTCGTCTCCAATGTGGCTTGCCGCGCCGGCGGCCCGCGTAAGCCGCCGCGCAAGGCCGCTGAGTCATCTCGCGTAAGAGCTCTGTCAGATCGTCGCTCACGTGTCCTCAGCCACGCGCAGAGGGCGTCTTAGAAGCACACCTGCTTCTCAGAAGGCGCGGGCCTCATCTATAGATGTAAGAAAGAGCGCGCCCGTACGGAACTCAATACTAAAAGGGGGGACCCAGCTTCAAGCTACCCCCCCCCCTTCCTTCGAAAGGGGGGGGCTTCCGAAGCTACACCCCTCCCCCCTCCCTTGTGGAAGCATTTTTGAGCTGGGGGGGCCCTGCCTAAAGGGGGGGGGGCTTCGAAGCTGCCACCCCCCGCTTCCTCCCTTTTCGGGGCCAGAGGTAAGCCCGGGCTCCCCTTCCTAAAGAGGGGGGTGCTTCGGAAGCTACACCCCCCCCCTTCCTCTGCAGCCGGGGTCACGCGGGGGCTCGCTATCGAGGTCGCGCGCGCCCGAAGCTTGGATGGGGGCCCCGTCGGACCCCTGTGGGTCTCCTCCTCGGTGCGCTGTTTGGCTCGGGGCCCCGGCCTTCAAGCCGCCTCCTCCCAGGGATTCCTCCTCCGGAGGATCCCTTTAAGGGGCCCGCGAGCCAATTGAGAGCACAGTTTTGAAGAAGGAACCGCTCGCACCTAGGATGGGGGCCGCGTCGGATCCTTGTGGGTCTCCTCCTCGTTGCCCTGTTTGGTTCGGGGCCCCAGCCTTGAAGCCGCCTGCTCCCATGGATTCCTCCTCCAGAGGTTTCCCTTAGGAGGGCGAAGCCGCGAAGCAAGGCGATAGCCCAGTTTCGAAGAAGGAACCGCTCGCACCTAGGATGGGAGCCCCGTCGGACTCTTTTGGGACCCGGTCTTGTTTTCTCGGACGTTGGTTAGCATTCTCGTTTTCTCGTTGTCTCGGCTCCCGGGTGGTGGTTTCGTTTTCTTTGACGCTGCTTCGTTGTCTCATTTCTTCGTTTTCTCGGCTTCTGGGTCGTGGTCTCGTTTTCTCGAACCAAGCGTTTTCTGGTGATCTCGGCCGCTGGGTCGTGGTTTCCTCGGACCCTGGTTCGTTTTCTGGTTTTCTCGTTTTCTCGGCCCCTGGGTCGTGGGTCGTTTTCGCGTTTTCTCGTTTCCTTGGCTCCTGGGTCGTGGTCTCGTTTTCTCGGGGCCTGGTCCGATTTCTAGTTTTTTTGTTTTCTACGCCCCGTTCGTTTTCTCGTTTTCTGTGCCCTTGGATCGTGGTCTCGGTTGCTCGGACTTTGGTTTGTTTTCTCGTGTTCTCGGCCCCTGGGTCGTGGTCTCGTTTTCTCGGACCCTGGTTCGTTGTTTTGGTGTTTCGTTTTCTCGTTTTTGTTTGTGTTGTTGTTGTTGAACATATTTAATTCTAAAGAATAATTATTGTTGGGACCCCTGGTGCGCGCCCCCCCCGCCGCGCCTAGGCCGCAGCCACATTTTCATCATTTTCGTGAGGAAGTCTCAGGCAAAACGGGGTATACCAGATCCGGTTGTGTTGTTACGATCGGTTTTCCCTTGCAAAAAAATAAGGCAAAGTTGACATTTCTTGTTCTAACATGACCAAACTTCAAGAATCCCTTGCAAAAAATGACACGAAGTGCACATTCGCGCGCGCAAGACGAAATCCTTCCAAAACCTTAGTCTTCGTAGCGATTTTCACATAAAAACATGAAAAACCCAATGGTTTTTCAAAAAAAGGGTTTCAAAAATTCACCCCGCGCGCTCTTGCGGATTTCTTAGGAAACCCAATACTTTTTCAACATTTCTGTCAAACGGGCTCTTGCGAGCAACTTTTTCACGTGCTTCGAACTTCTGCAACAAAGGTTGCGCGCCTGCCAGGGCCATTATCCCTGTCAAATAATTCCATGTGGGACACATTCGTTTTTTCTTCGCGCGCGCACGCAGATATCTTCAAAAATCATTGGGTTTCTTATGAATTTTAGCACCGCGCAACATAAAATCATACGAATCGCACCGTAGGTTCTCGAAAAACATCTGTACGAATTTTCAAAATTTCTACCCGCGCGCGCTGTCCGAATCCTTAAAAACCAATGGTTTTTCAACATTTATGTTATAGAGCTCGCGCGAGCTGTTTTCGCAAGCTCTTTCAACGGCGTTCGCGCGCCTGCCAGGGGCCACAATCCCTTGCAAAAAATATCATGCGGGACACATGCGCGCGTCGTCGCGTCGTCGTTGTCGGCATGGTACCACAACAAGTCAGTGTGTCACCACGTCATCGAACAAAATCACTGATCACTGTCACATCCGTAGCCATCTCGGATCAAGGTATCGCCTGTGTTCTTGGATGGGTCATGGCTTTGTCGGCGAAAGCCCTTGACGAGCAGTATGGCCCAGAGCTGTCGCGGCCTCCCTTGGCCGACTGCGGCAGCCCGTTTTATTTGCATCAGGCGCTCGTTGCAAAGGGTATCCAGGTCAGTCACCAGGCGTGCAAGGTTTGGCGGGTCAAGTAGCGGGTTGTGCCTGGCAAGGTCAGTATTTCTAGCGCCAAGGAGCTGGAGGAGCAGCACGGCTCCAGGTCTGTCATACAGGCGCATGGCGAGCCTGGATGTATTTGTGGCAACACACACGGGATCCATGGGTATGGAGCCGCCATCTATGGCTCTGTGGAATGCCTCCGACGACGTCAAGGATGGTATTACCTATTTCCCGAAGCAGGACCATTGGTGGCACATGCCAGTATGGCGTTCTTTCGGGCAGTCCGAGTATGGGAATGTCATGGATTACCAGGTGGATCTGGGTATGCCGGCGCATGTCCAGGGCGTCCTGGCGGCATTGGCGCCCCACGCACGCACGGGCGATGTATCCGCGAGGAGGCGCATCGGCACAATGCTTGGACACTTGGCCCCTGATGTATTGCTGCCAGGAGCGCAGCTTGCAGTATTGCGCCCGATGCGTGCCATTAGAGACAGGCGTGCGCCAGAAGATGATGAGCACAAAGACTCGTCTCTTTAGTATGTCTCCAGAGCACGTACGTGTCCAGAGCCGCCGCGCCTTGTCCTGCTGCTCCTCCTCCTCCTCCTCCTCCGGCGGGGGGCGTGAGGGTCCGGCATCGCTGACAACCATCGGGACAACCATCGGGACCACCATCGGAACAACCATCGGGACAACCATGGGGACAACCATCGGGACAACGATCGGGACAACCACAACCATCGGGACAACCATCGGGACAACCATCGGGACAACCATCGGAACAACGATCGGGACAACCATCGGGACAACCATCGGGAGAACCATCGGAACAACAATCGGGACAATCATCGGGACAATCATCGCGACAACCGTCGGGACAACCACAACCATCAGGACCTCCAACCAGAGAGAGCTAGTCACGTGTATTTCGTAGACGAATGAGCCAGTATTGCACATTGAGGCCGGAACGACAACCACAGAACAAGAATGAGCATGTATCGTCTCACAACAACGGAAACAAGTCCTGTGGTATGTTGGCGCCACGCACGTGGTACCACTCAAAATAAGTGTCTTCGCTTGTGTGGTACAGAAACGGAAAAACGGCGGAGAACGGTGCAGGTGTCCAGTGTTGGAACAGGGGGAAAAGTCGTATACTAAGCTAGCTTCCACAAAATGTTACCACGACAAGTCACTGTACCCATGCGCCAGTGTAGTAGCCAAGGTCGTCCGCAGGCCACGAAGTGAAGTGTCCGAACGTCATAGGGCGGGAAGCTGGGTGTGGGTGGTGGCGAAGAGTCGTTTGGAAACTTGGTAGAGCTTGAACCGGCCCCCCCACAAAGTGGGGGTATTGCCCGCCTCCTATGAAAACCCTGGCACTGGTGAGAACGGAGTGTCCCCAGTCTTAAATGATTGTTGTTGTTGTTGTTGTCGTTGTTGTTGTTTCGGGCCCTGGTTCGTGATCTCGTTTTCTTGTTTTCTCGGCTCCTGGGTCATGGTGCCATTTTTCCTCGGACCGGGTTCGTCTTCTCGTTTTCTCGTGTTCTCGGATCCTGGGTCATGGTCACGTTTTCTCTGACCCTGGTTCGTTTTTTTGTTTTCTCGGCTCCTGGATCGTGGTTCCGTTTTCTCGGGCCCTGGTTCGGTTTCTCGTGTTCTCCGTTTCTCAGCTCCTGGATTGTGGTTTTGTTTTCTTTGGTCCTGGTTCGTTTTCTCGTTTTCTCGTTTTCTTGGCCCCTGGGTCGTGGTCTCGCTTTCTCGGGCCCCGGTTCGTTTTCTCGTTTTCTCGGTTCCTGGGTTTTTGTTTCGTTTTCTCGGACCCTGGTTCGTTGTTTTGTTTTCTCGTTTTCTCTACCCCTGGGTTGTGGTCTCGTTTTCTCTGACCCTGATTCGTTGTCCTGTTTTCTTGTTTTATCGTCCCCTGGGTTGTGGTCTCGTTTTCTCGGGCCGTGGTTCGTTTTCACGTTTTCTTGTTTTCTCGGCCCCTCGGTCGTGGTCCAGTTTTCTCGGACCCTGGTTTGTTTTATCGTTTTCGCATTCTCTGTGCCCCTTGGCCGTGGTCTCGTTTTCTCGGGCCCTGATTCCTTTTCTCGTTTTCTTGTTTTCTCGGCACCTGGGTCGTGGTCTCGTTTTCTCGGGCCCCATGTCGTTGTCTCGTTGTCTCTGCCCCTGGGTCGTGGTTTGGTTTTCTCGGGCCCTGGTTCGTTTTCTTGTTTTCTCGTTTTCTTCGCCCCTGGGTCGTGGACTTGTTTTTTTCTGACCGTGGTTCGTTTTCTCGTTGTCTCTGCCCCTGGGTCGTGGCCTCGTTTTCTCTGTCCCTGGTTCGTGTTCTCGTTTCTTGTTTTCTCGGCGCATGGGTCGTGGTCAAGTTTTCTCGGGCCCTGGTTAGTTTTATTGTTTTCTTGTTTTCTCGGCCCCTGGGTCGTGGTTTCGTTTTCTCGGACGCTGGTTTGTTTTCGCGTTGCCTCGTTTTCTCGCCCCCTGGTTCGTGGTCTCGTTTTCTCGGGCCCTGATTCCTTTTTATCGTTTTCTCGTTTTCTCGGCTCCTGGGTCGTGGTCTCGTTTTCTAGGACCGATATTCGCGTTTTCTCGGCCTGGGTCGTGGTCTCGTTTGCTCGGACCTTGGTTTGGTTTATCGTTTTCTCGTGTTCTCGGCCCCTGGGTCGTTATCGTGTTTTCTCGGACCTTGGTTCATTGTTTCGTTTTCTCGTTTTCTTGACTTCTGGGTTTATGTTTCGTGTTATCGGGCCCTGGTGAGTTTTCTCGTTTTTATCGTTTTCTCGGCCCTTGGGTTGTGTTCTCGCTTTCTCGGGCCCTGGTTCGTTGTCTCGTTGTCTGGTTTTCTCGGCCCCTGGGACGTGGTTTCGTTTTCTCGGACACTTGTTTGTTTTCTCGTTGTCTCGTGTTGTCGGCCCCTGAGTCGTGGTCTTGTTTTATCGGACCCTGGTTCGTTTTCGCGTTTTCTCGGCCCCTGCGTCGTGGTCTCGTTTTCTTGGACCCTGGCTCGTTTTTGAGGATCCTGGTTTGTTTTCTCGTTTGCTCAGCCCCTGGGCCGTGGTCTCGTTTTGGTAGACCCTGCTTCGTTTCCTCGTTTTCTCAGCTCCTGAGTCGTGGTCTCGTTTTCTCTGACCCTGGGTCGTCGTCGTCGTCGGTCGCGCGTCGTCCGTCGTCCGTCGCCGTCTTCGCATGACCTCGTCCTCGTCGTGACGACCACGACGAGGTCATGCGAAGACGGCGACAATGACGGCTACGGCGTCGACAACGACGACGAGGACGACGACGGCGTCGCACGAAAACGTCGAGCGACGGCGACGGCAACGACGACGGCGACGGGGGAGGATCGTCCGGCAGGGGGAGTTCAAGGGAGGGGGGTGGTAGCTTTCAGAGGGGGTCCAAAGGGGGAGGGGGTAGCTAAGTTCTTTTCTTCTTTTTGGACAAAGGAGGGGGAGGGAGGGGGGTAGCTTCCAGCAGGGGGGGTGCAGAGGGGGGAGGGGTAGCTTCTGGAGCGACAAAAGGGGGGAGGGGGGGTAGCTTCCGGAGGGGGGGGGGGGGGGGGGCAAAAAAGTGGGGGGTAGCTTCCAGCGGGGGGGGTCCAAGGGGGGAGGGGGGGGGGAGCTAAGCCCCCCCCTTTGGAAAGGGGGGATGGGGGGGGAGGGGGTAGCTTCCGGAGCAGGAAAGGGGGGGGGGGGGGGGTAGCTTCCGGAGGGGACCAAAAAGGGGGGAGGGGGGTGGGCGAGTTCCGCGCGCGCGCTCTCTCAGATGTATGGCTGGCGCCTTCTAAGAAGCAGCCTCCTTCTGAGAAGCCCTCCCCGCCTCCTTCCACCCCCGTGCGCGCGCCGCCAGTGTCCGCTGCCTCACCTCGAGTCTCTGCCGAGGCTGCTTTTTCACGGGGAGCCGCTGCCCGAGGGCGCGGTCCTGTGCTGCGCCGTGGCCGCCGACTTTGCGCGCTGGGCCGCGCCGCAGGCGCCGCGCCTCGTGGACGAGGAGGGCGCCGTGAGCCTCGTGGAGGTGCTGCTGCGGAGGCTGCGGGCGGTGGGCGAGGTGGACGAGGCCTCGGCGCGCTCTGCATCACCCAGCCCCCAACCCGAAGGAGACAATGGAGATGCGTAGCCCAACTTGGCCCCTCGCTTTTTAGGGCTCCATCCGGCTGCTGACGGCAAGTCTCGCCGCCGTGCCTGGGCCGTGGGTGATAAGCTCAGTGGGTGTTCGCTGGAATTTCGTGAGAGGCCTCTCGGGGGCCTCTTGGAGGCAGTTTTGAAGCCTCTTGAGAGCCGTTTTGGGGTCTCTTGGGGGCCTCGTGGGGAACTCTTGGGGCCTCTTGGGGGCCTCTGGGGAACTTCTAGGGGCCTCTCGGGCCTTTTCGGGCCTCTTGGGGTCCTCTTGGAGCCTCCTAGGGGCCCCTTGGGGCGGAAGGTTCGGATTCTCGGTTCGTGGTCCCTCTCTGGGGCTCCTTTTGGAGCCGTCTTGGGCGCCTCGGCCGTTTTGGGGGCGCTCCTAGGCCGTCTTGGGGCCCTCGTGGAGGCCTCTTGGCCCGTTTTGGGGTGGTCTTAGGGGCCTCTTGGGCCGTCTTGGAGCGTTGGAAAACCGAAAGGCGAGAACGCCAATCAAAAACGCAAGGAACAACACTGATGTTTACCTTTGGGCCCTCTTGGAGGCCTGTTGGAGGCCTGTTAGAGCGCCCTGGAAGCTTCTTGCGCCATCCTGAGGCCATCTTGGGCGCCTAAGGAGATGACAGAACCCTAACAGACAGCACTTGGCATTCTAGCACGCCTCGACGTGCCAGGGGGCACGGCGGTGGCGGATACCTAATCTTGTGAGTGGTTTCGTCTGAGACATTTCCCAAACAGAAAATCAACAACAACAGCAACAACAACAACAAATAACTCAGGCCCCCTCCCAATGGATTAGGGGTACTTCGATTGCTTATCACCGGCCGTGCAGGGAAAGTCTAGGCCTTCCAGACGGGCGACTCAAGAAAACGAGGTCGTCTGCGCCGAGGCTCGCACGTAAGCTGCCCACGAAGGGTCGCGCGTAAGCGTCCTCGTCTCGAATGTTGCGTGCCGCGCTGGCGGCCTGCGTAAGCCGCGGTGTAAGGACGCCGTGCCATCTCGCGTGGGACACATTCCCTTTCGTCGATCAGACCGAGTCGGAGTAGATGGGGTCGAAGGACCGCGTCGCATCGACGATGCGGCTCGATGTGGAGCCGGAATTTCTCCACGCCGACGGCGCCGAGGCATCGTGTATGCGCTGGCGATGCGGCGCGATTCTCCGACTCCATCCACTCGGACCGATCTGGGAGGCCTCTTAGAAATTCTCGACGCCTCGCGTAGCCCCACCAGCCGTGTTCACTCTGTTCACGGTTTGACGACAAGTGTCCGGATTAGTACTCCCTTCTTCAGGAGTCTCGTTGTGTGCGACTTTGGTGGCGCCACTTCCATGCACTGTTTTTCCTGGTCAGTGAGTTTTTCCTGGCCTAGCTGGTGTCAGCGTTCCTTCGTGATGGTGCTCCTGGTTCCATCCTGGTATCGCTCCCGCGCCATCTTGGCTGCGCTCCAACCTCGGTTGGCTAATTATGCATGCGCTCGCTCCTGGACCTGGTTCCTGGCAGCTGCAGCCCGCACCACCTCGCGCAGTTCGGTCAGCCTAGGTGCTGCTTAGGCCGCCTGTTTGTCGGCGCGCTATGCAATTAGGTTCGCGCGTAGCCCGCCCGACCCTTGACGCCGCTTGCGCGCTCGCCTGCGGCCGCGACGAAAAAAAGTAACCCCACCAGCCTTTCTTCGCCCCTCTCGTCTTGTCTCTTCTCGTTGCTTGTCCGCCCTTCGGTTCTCGCCCTCCGGTGCCTCTTCGCTTCGCCTGCCTTTGTCTCCGCTCTGTAGCGTTCGCCACCCTTGTGGCCCCTTTTTCCGCATCTCACTTGCGACAGCAGGGCTTGCGCTACCGTCTCGACTTTACTGACAGCGCGCGGCTGACCGCGTCGCTCGCGAGCCAAAAAAGTAACCCCACCAGCCCATCCAGAAACGATGCCCAGAGGAATTGCCTCGATCAGGGAAGTGGGCAGCACACAGAGGGAGGGCCCCCCAGTGGAGGCCTCTAGAAACTCAGAGGACGGCGAGTTGAGACGGCGGCTATTGGCTTCCAGGGGGGGGAAGGCCATGGGCCACGCGTCGCCACGGCCAGGTTTTCGACGTTGTCGTCCGCCCTCGGCGGCTTTCCACCCTCGGGATGCTCGCCAGCAGCTGCGCCTCGCCGAGGGCGTTCCGGGCCGCCAGAAACACGAGCAACGACCGGGAAACCAGCGACGGGGCGATGGGAGACAGCGTAGTTGGCTTTCGGGGGGGGGGGGGGGCCCTCGTGACCACGGCTGGACGCAGCTCGGAAAAGTTGAGTGTTTGGATCCTGGGAGGGTCCAGGGGCCGATCGTGATCTGCCGCTGTCTCAGCTCGCACTGCTCCGAGAATGGCGCCCTGGGGAGAAGCGGGTCCCGAGGCCTCTCGCCGTCTTCGGGGTCCCAGGGGGCTTTCTTCCCAAGGCCCCCGGGGCCGTCGGAAAACGGCCTGGGATGACAGGGCTGGTCCTGAGGGGTAATGCCCCAGGCAAGGTCGGGGACCTGGGCGCTCCAGCGGCTTCCCGCGGGGCCCTCCCTGAGATCCGACACCGCTGAGACATGCGACATCGTGACACATCACGACCAGAGCCTCGGACCCCGTCTCTCTGCTGCCGCTCTCGAGCCGGATCGATCTGTGAGGGCCCCGGGGCCCGAAGCTGGGCGCAGACGCCTGGTGCGAAGGAATGCAGCCTCCGGGTCTTGGGGCCCTGCCGATGCATGGCCAGAGGCGTGGGCCCCCCGCGGGCGGCTGCAGCTCCGTGGCGATGAGGCGGCGGCCCCTGGCGCGGGCGGCGGCCGCGCGCTGGGCGCGCCGCGCGCCGGGCTGCCGGCGGTGTCCTCGGACTTCGACGCCGCCCGCGAGAGCTACCGCAACGCGGGCGTGCTGCTCGGCCTGGGCCGCGAGCACCAGGAAGGCAGGCCCGTGGTGGTGGCCACGGGCAATTTCTCGAAGCTCGTCAGGCTCGTGGAGGCGTCGCGGACGAAGAGCAGTACGCAAATACTTACGTGTTGCGTCCACATCCCGGATAGTAGGGCGCCAGGAAGGCTTTCTAGTACTTTTGAGGGAGCTCTGGCAGTTCTTGGAAGGAGTTCCGAAGATCTTCTGGAAAGCTTGACAGCGAACGTATTGGGAAACAGTTGGACAAAGGCCTGCCAGGACAGATTTCCGGTTCACAGGAGGCGCTGCGAGGTGTCTGGAGCGAAGCTGGAGCGAGCTCCGTGGCAACCCTGCGTTGCTGGCTTCTTTCCAACCGTTTTGCTCTCTACGAGCTATCCGGGAATGTCGTTCCGCTGAAAGGGACGCGTGCCTCAGTGCGGCTGGAAAGTTGATATCCTTACAGTGGAACGTCGGGGTATGAATTATGCAGCCGCCCTGGGACAGGCGTCCCCGACGGCGGTGGCCAACGGCAACTCCTCGAAACTCGTGGGGCTGGTGGAGGTGTGCTTGGGAGGGATAGGTAGCTCAAGGAGGCTCCACGAGGCTCGAGCTCTGAGATTTTCGGGCGTTTTCGTCGAGATTCTCGGCAGTTTTCCAGCCTCGGGATGCCTTTCAGAAGCTGCGCCTCGCCGAGGGCGTTCCGGGCCTGCCCGCATCGTCCCGACGGCCGCCAGGGAGCCGAGTTTGATGGCCCGAAAGCCAGAGAGGCCGACGTTAGCGGGGTCTGGGCTCAGGGTGGGATGCATCGACCCCGAATCGCCCATTCATCGCTGGTAGGACCCCGATAGCCCCATCCCGTCCAGGACCGTGCGGATTCGCCATCGGGGGCTTTTCGCAGATCTATGCGCGAGGTATCGGGGGTTCCAGGTGAGCGAGGGAAGACGCCGCGTTCGACTGCGCGTAAGTTGCCCGCGTAATCCTCTTCTCCACGCGCTGTGCCACGCTGGCGGTCCGCGTAAGCCGCCGCGTAAGGTTCTCGCGCAAGACCTGCTTCTTCTCGTTGCTCAGGTCGATGCTGTGTTTCCCCCCTTTGACTTGGTCCCCCACTGACGTTGCCCTTCAGGTGTTCGCGAAGCAACGGGTGCCCGTGGAGCGTGCGCCGCCGGCGCTGCCGCTCCACCTGAGGCCGCAGATCTGCCCAGGCCACGCCTCGAGGCCGCTGTCGGGCCTGGAGCGGGACTGCATCAGGAAACTCCTGGCGTATCCGCCAGGCGTGCTGGTGAGCGTGGCAAGCCTGTGTGTGGAGCCGCAGGTCAGAGGAGGAGAAGGTACGGATACCGCTGCTCGTCCTGGGGTGACCTCGCCACCACGGCTGGATTCTCTTCAACATTCTGGTCAGAACGCGCCCCAGAAGAGGTCCGGATGGTAGCAGTGCTGGTACCCATTTGACTCCTCAGCAGGGGCCTACAGGAGGCGGCGACCAGTGGTTCTTCGTGGACGACACGCCCGCCGGCACGCAGATCTACGTCAAGGACCGCATACACCGCGGCGTTGACAGCCCCGCACTTCGCTTTCGGCCCTCGCGCAGCCTCAGCGAGTCCGTGGGCAAGTCTGCGTCCATCACGGTGATGTTCGGCCGCGCCGGGGCCACGAGCGCCGGGCAGCTGCTGTGCGAGTTCTTCGAGGGCGGCACCGTCTACGGACAGATGTGCGCCCCACGCGGCGTAGATCTCGAGGCCCCTCTTCCTCCTCCTCCTCCTGCTCCTCCTCCTGCTCCTCCTTCTCCTCCACCTCCTCCTCCTTCTCATCCTCCTCCTTGGCCGCTTCGGCTAGGCGGACGCGGACTCCCCTCTCTACGCTCGTCACCTCCTCCTCCTCCTCCTCCTCCTCCTCCTCCTCCTCCTCCTCCTCTCCTCCTCCTCTTCCTCCTCCTCCTCCTCCTCCTCCTCCTCCTCCTCCTCCTCCTCCTCCTCCTCCTCCTCCTCCCCCCTCCTCCTCCTCACTCAAAACAGAGGGGTCGCCGCTGTTTGGCCCGAGCGTCGACGCATATCTACATATCGTCTGAAGAGAAACAGCTCCGCAATCTACATCTTATTGCCGCCATGGTTTTTTCGCGCAGCCCCCAAGCCCCACAATTATGGAGTTAAGCAGCGGAGCTGGGAGCGATCCCGGCTCGCGATTTCCGGAAGGTGCGAAGAGTGCGGTGTGGACGCACATTCGCACGTACCGTCACCTCCAGATCGGTACCACCTTCCATTCCATAAGTAGCTTGTGCTTACGGCTGTCAAGCCAACTGGCACTTCGACTCAGACATCCGGTCCGACTGCGAGGGGGCTACAGCAGAAGGCGTATCCGCGATGAGGAGCGACTCGCCCACAGCAGCGCAACGACGTTCTTCGACCCATCGCAACACCCATAAAGAGACTGGCCGCAGCTTCGCGTCGGGCATGATTGCGAGGCTCCATCCTTTGCTCGCGCCGTGCGTCGGTACGTGCTCGATATTGCTGGCTGTCCTTGTGGACACATCATACCACCCGAGTGGAACATTGCAAGTCAATGTACCAGTTCCAGCCACGCACATCGACACGGCGTTCGTCCCCGCGCAGGCCCGAGCCCCAAAGGCGCCAACGCAACCATCATCGCGGTGACGTCTTCGCGATGTTTGGGGCGCTGGAGGCGCGGGCCGCGCGTCGGCGTCAGCGGCGCTCGAGCGCAGCATCGCGGTGGAGGTGGCGCCCCTCGTCCCTCGTGGGCTGGCATGCGGCGACTGCTGCTGTCGATGCGTGGAAAGCCTCCGAGCCGATCAGTCCACGTGAGCTCCTTTGTGAAGCCCGTCATCATGGATATCCTTTGCGGCCGGCATGGGTGGTCATCGAGAATCACCGCCAGTCGCGAGCCCCGAAAGCATTTGCATCTTTTTCGGGACCCTTCATACCTTGGCCAGGCATGCTCGCAGGATGCGCGCGCTCTACCTCTCTTCTCACCCTCCTCACCTTACGATCTGTGCGGCGCGCGCGTGCACGTCACGTCGTGCCCCGAGCCTTGGTAGATGACCTTGCTATTCCGTGGGTGGGGGAGCGGGCGGTGGGGGTTCGGAACTTGTGGAGTGATGTCGCTAAGTTCTAAGCTGATGTTAAGCAACTCGGGATTGTTCTCCAGGACTCGGCCTTTGGAAAGTCAGGCCAGGTAGTGGCCGATCGGAAGGTCTTGAGAGCGTCGAAACCCTGGGCACGTGCTGTTCGGCTCGAGATGGAACGTAACATGCGAAACCTCGGCCACGAACTTTCTGGCAGGGGTCGGCGGCGCCTTTTGACCCTGCAGCGACTCGGCAAACTGGAACGCCACATGCGGCGAGCGCGCCCGCTTCAGAAAGCGGCAGGCTCGAGAGAGCTTGGAGGGCCCATGCTGACAAGCGCCGAGATAAATTCACTTCGCAGCATGCGTCGGGCCCGCTCTCAGTCGTAGGCCTGTCTTTGCTGCGTGTGGACTGGTATATGTAATCTTCAGTTATGATCCGCTCGGATCAAGGTGTAGCCTACTCGTTAATGCAAACTGACCCGCAGCGTCTTGTCAGCCTGCTGCGAGCTGGCATCCAGCGCTGGCAGATGCGCCGAAGCCAGGCTCATTGTTCTACCTTTCCTGCCGACGCGGAACTGTGGCCCCTTGGGGTCCGCGCCTGTGTTGGGCCCAAGAGGGCCGCGGTTCAAAATCCGAGGTCGGCGGGGGTTGCTCGGCCCCTCTGGGCCGATTCCTGGTGGCCTAGAGCTGAACTTTATCAGCATGGCCTCGCACCTGACCCGAAGTGCCGGGGCTGCGGGGCGGAGCCAGAAAGTTGTGGGCAATTGGTGCTTGAATGCTCTGTGCTTCGCGAGCAGCTCCTCAAGTTTGAAGAGGAGGTGCCGATCATTGAATCCTTAGAGGAAATTCGGGACCCCTTTTTGACTCAGGGCCCTTGTGGGGGCCGTGGAGCCTCGGACCCCGATTATTCAATCGCTTCGCTCACTCCGCCGGCCCGTATTGCATGATCGCTACTGCTTCGGCGCGGGCTCGGGGCCATTTCGGCGCCGCCGGAAGGAGGAAGATGAGGATGGGGTGGGGGAGGGGAGGAGGAGAAGAGGATGAGAAGGAACGGAGGAGGATGAAGATAAATATGAGGAGGAGGAGGAGGAGGAGGAGGAGGAGGAGGAGGAGGAGGAGGAAGAGGAAAAGGGCGGAGGAGGAAGCCTCTCGATGGCATCTTGCGGCGCTCTTGGGGCCAAACAGGGCCGTCGTCCAGATGCTTCTTTGGGAGGCCCTGGGGTCTGTTGAGAGGCCGTTCGGGGGCGCCTGGGAGACATTTTTGAAGCCTTGTAGGGCCTCTTTTGAGCCTCCTTGGAGCCTCCTGGGGTCTCTTGGGGGCCTCTTGGCGGCATCTTGGGTCATCTTGGGGGCCCCTCGGGGCCTCCTGGGGCCCTCTTGGGGCGGAAGGCTCGAGGTTTCGGTTCGTGGTCCCCATCTTGGGCCCCTTTTGGGGCCGTCTTGGGGCTCTCTTGGACCGTCTTGGGCGTCTCTCGGGCCGTCTCGGGGCCCGTTTGGGCTCTCTGGGGGCCTTCTTGGGGGCCTCTTGAGCCGTCTTCGTGCGCTCTTGGGGCCCTCTTGGGCCGTCTTGGAGCATCGGAAAGCCGAAAACGCGACAAGGCCATAATCCTTCCAAAATCATCGTACAATTTATGATTTTGGCCTCTCGGGGCGCTCTTGTCTTGGAGGCCACTTGGAGCGTTTTGGCGGCTTCTTGGGCCGTCTTGGGATCATCTTCGGCGTCTTGGAGCGTCCTTTGGGCGTCTCGGGAGCCTCTTGGGCAGTCTTGGGGGCCTCTTGGGGCCCTCTTGGCGCGCTCTGGTGGGCCTGAGAGGCCGTACCCAGGAGGAAAACCATCTCTGAGTAGACCTTCCCGGGACCTTCCCGGGCTGCGGTCGGGGTACTTTTCGCCGGGGGACCCCCAGGGGCCGCCCCGCGCGCCCGAACTAGAAGAATTGTGAACCAGTTACCGGAGATCTTCGCACGCCTCTGGCCCGTTGGGCCGGTGAATTTTTGGCTTTCGGTGGGCCTCCCGCTCCTTCCTGCTAAGCCCTCGACCCGCCCTGGGATCTGCCTGTCCTGGGTGGGGTGATTGGGATTCGGATCCCGCTACGCGGAGCAACGTGGCGCTCGCGGATGGCTCAGGGCTGCGGAGCAGTCAGCCCGAGATTCGTGCCTGCGGCTGGGCGGTTGTCCAGATCGCCGGCGCAGGAAGACAAATCAGAGCTTGCTATGGCAGGCTCGTTGGCGCCAATCAGACTGCTGGCGAGGCTGAGCGGGTGGCGCTTTTGCGTGCGATTGAGAAAGTCCCGTCGCTGCAAGTCGTCGTCACTGGCCTGCTTGGTTTAGCAGAGGAGACGCTCGCTTGGAATGACGAATTGGAGGGACCTGGGGCTAAGCATGCTGCGGTGTGGAGGCGAATTCGAGCCGTTTTCCATAGCCGCGGTCAGGTCCCTTCTCTTGTGCACTGGTGCCCAGCACATAGCGATCTCCAGGAGGCTGCGCTTGCCACCCGAGATTCGGGCCCTCCATTTGCTTATGTGGTCGGTAACTCGTGGGCGGATTTTTTCGCCTCAGCGGGAGAGGCCTCGGAGATGGTGGGGCAGGGCGCGGTTGACCTCTTTAGGATGGCATTGAAAATGTACCCGGAGTTTGCAAAGTACCAGGCTGGGCGGGGCTAAGAGCGATCGAGTTGGGTCTTGGTGCGTCGTCGTCGGATTCGTCGCCCGCTCGTCGTCTGAAGACTCTTGCCCCGCCAGGCCTTGCGTTTGACATTTTAGAGCCTGAGCAGGCCCAGTCGGGGCATGATGTCTGGCGGAGGGGCCGCCCGTGCCCAGGAATGGAGGTGCAGGTGCTGCGGAGTCGCGTCTAAAAGGCGGACTGGCGCCCGCGCCCTCTGGAGCTCTTCGGCGCGCTGTACGCCAACGGCGCTGCAGGAGTGGCAGGCAGCCCATGCGTTTGCACGCGCGGGAGATTTCAGGCCGATGACGTCTGAGGCGGTCCGAGTCGCCCTAGAGGCGGCGGCAAGGGTCCTTGAGGGGGGGCCCTGAAAATCCCGAGAGCCCGGCTAGTCCGTCTCCTCCTGGGGGGGGGAGGGGGGGGCGGTTGGCACTGTGTGCTCGGGGGTGTCTGCCCTTGCCGCTTTGGGCCCCGCGGGGGTGGACTCTGGTGGCGGCGAGGGCTCTGAGGAGCGCCGTCCTGCCGACGTTGGGTTCGCGCGTTCGGGCTCTGGTGGAGGGGGGTCTGAGGCAGCCTTGGCGACCAGCTCCGTGGAGGGTCGCCAGGCTGGCTTGGCCCTCTTTCACAGCCTCGGCCAATGAGTGGCCGAGGTCGGGGCCTATGCGTTCTGTGAGCTGCGAGCGTGTGTGGTCGGGGAGTCGGGGAGGGTGCCTGCCCTTAAGGCTCCTTGCAAAGGCCCCTCGGATGCCCCCAAGACCCTCAGCGCCCAGAAGGCTCGCCTCAAGAGGTTGAGGCGTGGGGATCCGCATAGGTAGCGGTTGAGGGTCCTGGGTCCTGGTTGTATTTAGCTTGGGGGACCCCTCAGATTTTGCCTTTTGGTGTAGATGGGTTCGGGCGACTTGGACTCACCTCCTACTGCCGTCTCATCCTCCTCCTCCTCGTCCGTAGCCATTTTGGCTCAAGGCTATGAACCGCCCCGACGACCGCGAGTCTTTCGGGG